AAATATGTTGGGTAATTGTTAAATTTTTTTTATTAACACCTAAGACTCTTGAAAAAAAAGAAAAACAATTTTCAAAAAAATGTTTTCAATTCCAATTTTATATTGTTTATGCAAATCAAATGGTAGATTGTACAGCAAACTTTTTTCGCTACAATGTGCGCGGATAATTAAATAATAAAAAAATCGTCGTTTCAGTTTTTTTTCCAAATTTTTCCCGATTTTTACAATTTTACCTAATTCCCGGGGTTTTAAACAATTATTTGTGTATAAGTTGATAAAAGGACAACGTTGGCGACTGGGACAACGTTTTACAACAAACTCTACAAGGTTGGACGATGCCATATAAAAATATTTATTTTTATGTTAATTTCGTTGTGTTCTAAACAGCACATTTGATAACGAAAACTCGATAATAGTTTTATATTCAAAATTCAATACAAGTTGTTAACAACTTTGGATCGAGTTGTACAAAAATTAACAATTTGTTTTGACTCACAAAAACAATTTATGTCATTCCAAAAATACATATTATTTATAATTAGTTGTTTGTATTAACTTTATCCAAACACAGTTAAATAATCATTGAATTGTTGTGTTACACTATTATATTATATGGTTATTGTTTAAAATTTAAAAATAGAATTTTGTCATCCTTTTTTTCTTTGTCAAGTGATTTTTCAGCCTTCTGTAGTTTTATTTATTTAAACCATGTCTTGTTGTTTTTTATGGAACAATAATTAAACCAATTATTCGGTTATTTTTTGATGATCTCGTATGAAATTAATTAAAACAATAAGGAATTTTGTTTAAATAACAACAAAATATATACAATTTCGTTGTTGCAATAAAAATAAAAAACCGTTGCCTTCTTTTTAACAACTTCCATTTAACTTTACAAATTTAAATAATATTATACAGTAAAAATTCTATCGGTGTGTAAAGTCATGAAAATGGTTTTCCCAAGGTGTGTAAATTTTTTTTTCTTTTCTTTTTTAATTTCTGGCAAAAAAAAACTAAAAAATAATGAAATTTGTAAAACTATCCACAATCAAGAAAAATGACAAAATGTATTTTTTTGTTTTTTTATGAAAAAAAAAACGCGACACGTGTAAACATAAAATAATATTGTGAATTTTTTTAATTTGTCTAATTGTTTAGAATAAGAACAACGCATTGTGTTTTTGTATAAACACGTGGACTTTTGGTGCGGATTCTTGTCAATTTACAACTCGAGTGTACCTTGATAATTGCTTCAATTGCTTCTTTGTCTTTTGTTGATAACCTTAAAAAATGTGCTTGTTCACCGTGTTATTGCACGGTAGCATAAGGTGAGTGTCGATTTTTAGCCTCAAACGTCATCATCTTGTCGTCCTTTGCCTTAAACTTCTTTGCGTCTGCAACCATCTTGTCCACCTGTTCCTTTGAGAGTCTTCTTTCCTATTGTCTCGTCTCCAGCTGACACATTTAATATCCCATTTGCATTTGTGTCAAATGTGACTTCAATTGTGAGACTCCACATGGTGCTAATAAGATACCAAACAACCCAAACTTTCCAAGCAGGTTGCAATGTGATGTCATAGATGCCTCGCCCTCAAAGACTTGGATGGGCACGTCAGGCTTATTGTCTGCATGTGTCGTAAATATCTGTGACGTTCTTGCTGAAATTAATAAGTTTTGTGGTATCAATTCTGTCATCACACCAATCACAAGCGTTCTCTTGTGATTGGTGTGTGGAAGTCGGTGCATTTTTTATTATCATTTAAAGTTTGATATTTTTTTGATAAGCATTTTCTGCTTTTCTTTTCTTATCTTTTTTGAATTTATTATTGTTTGATAATTTTTCTCTTTTTAAGTTTTTATCAGGGTCGGCCAAACAATCATGTTATTGAAAAAAAAACTTAAAAAACAAAAAAATGGTAAAAACATTGATTTTTTTATTAATTAATTATATCAGACAAAACAGAATTGTTTTTTACCAAAAATGAATAAAAAAAGAAATAAAACGATAAATAATTTTAAAAACTTAATTTAAGGTTATTTTGAATATTAAAAGAAGAATTCATTTTGGATTCTTTATTATATTATTATAAAAAGATGAAAACTTAGAACGAAATAAAACAAATGCCTGTTAAAGTAGATTGGATACAAGACAAGTTGGCAGATAAAATAGTTACTAAAACATTTTATTGTATCATTTGTGGTAAAATTATGAGCTGTAATGGTTTAAATTTACATACTTTACAACACAAAACAATATTTGATAATATAGAACTTAAAAAATGTTTGATAAAAAAGTATTTTAATGGTAAGCGATTTTCAAACAATTGTGAAGGTAAAGGAATTGATTCTTATGTTTTTGAAAACCAATTAGAAAATGAATATAACACAAGAAATAAGATAAAAGAAACAAACATGACTATCGCTCAAATAATTTCTGAAAATGATTTATTATGTAAAACAGATGTAATTAAAAATATAATACAAATAATTATTCAAGTTGCCGAAGAATTTGGAATTAACACAATAAATAAACTAAGTCTTTCAAGAACATCGATGAGGCGATTCTCAGAAACTGTATTTGAAAAAGAAGAAGAGAAAAAGTTATACATAATACAAAAAGATAAATATGTTTCAATCCAGACTGATGAGTCAAAGATACACTCACATTCTCAATACATTTTTATAGTCGTACAATTAACCAAGAAAATATAATACATAATTTTATATTAGAAATGTCAACTCTAGAAGCCAAATCAACAGGAAAAGAAATATTCAATAAATTAAAAGTTATAATAGATAAATACAAAATTAGCCAAAGCAAAATTATTTCGATAACCACAGATGGGGGTGCCAATGTGAATGGCAAAAACAGTGGTGCCGCGACATTATTTTGTGAATATATCAACATAATTCCAAAACAATTACAATGTGATAAAAATTGGTGTTATTGTCACAAAATTAATTTGATATCCAAATCACTTGAATCAATAATCACTGTAAGCAAATTTGTTAATTTTTTTAGAACAATTTGTAACGTTTTGATAGAAGATTCAATTAAGAGCAAAACACACAATTCGGCAGTACCAACTGATTGTTGTACACGACGGTTAAGTGTTGGAAATATAATTGTGTTCGTTTACAATAATTGGAACGATATTGAATTAAGATTGTTGGAAATGTGTGTTGAATATACTGTTATCGATGATGTTGATATATTAGACTGTATATTGTTTTTTCAAAATAAAAATAACTATTTTATAACTTCTTTTTTAATTGATACAGTTGTTAAATTGAACAATTTAAACAAAAATTTACAAATTGAAAATGGGTTAATTGTGAAAGAAACTGGTAAAATTGTTAATTTTTACAACAATAATAATGACAAAATTAACAAATTAAATAACAACGATTTTTCTGAATTTGAAAATATAAATGGTTGTAATGTGGTTATTTGTTCGGCACAAAAAGAGTTGTTTTTGGAAATACTAGAAAAAATTAAAAAAGGAATCGAGTTGAGATTTAATTGTGTTAAATTTAATGGTTTTGAGAGTACAAATAATTTGGTTTTCACAAATTTGGAAATTTATACATTGTTTGCCTTATATTTTGGCAAAATAATAAAAAACAAACAAACTGTTATACCTCTACAACTTGAATATTTGTTGGAAGAAATTGTTCAACTTAGAACAGTTGTCAATGATGAAATAGAGTTCGTGTTAGTTAAAAACATGGATGTTAATTGTTTTGATATTTACTCTTATGTTGATATAATTAAAATATATCCAAAATTGTGGAATTTTCATTTGTATATCTCTGCTGTTTTTCCAACAAGTACAATGAGTGAATCTGGTTTTTCTATAGCAAAAAATACCTGGCAACCAAACATTTCATTTTCTTCATTCAACGCGAGAGTTGTGCTAAAAAAGAACAAATCGATATTGTAATAAAAAAATAATATTTATAATTAAAATTTTTTGAAATTTTGTTTAAAATGTTAACTATCGTTTTATTGATTTAAAAAAACATTTTTACATTTAAATTTTTATTAATATTTTTATTTGCAATTTGCTAAAACTAAATAAATAATGACACGTATTTGAGATTGTCACGAAGTTGTTTAAAAACTGGATCTTGGCCGACCCTGGTTTGATAATTTTTCTCTTTTTAAGTTTTTATTTCCAAATCTTTACTCTTTTAAAATAAAAACAAATTTGCAATTGACATTATTTTTGCGGGTTTTGGTGTTAAATATGTGGGAAATCATTATATTCTATCGGTGTGAAGGTGACTTTTGATTGGTCAAAACCACACACCGATAGAGTCACACACGGATGGAATCACACACCGATAGAATTTCTACTGTATATATTAAAATATATGGAATTTTTAACCATAAAATCTGAATATGCCTCGTGTAGACTTATCTATTCGAAGTGGTAATTTGTATTTATTTGTTATAACAATTTTATTATTTAGAACTATTGTAAAGATAGGAAGAAGTTAAAAATAAGAAAGAGGTATTTTATCCATTTTATATAAATATACATACAATCAAATTTTAATGAATAATAAACATTTTATTCATAGAATAACAAAATATTGTTTTTTAAATTAATGAATTTATAATTATATTTTATAATATATTTATATCAAGTTTTATTGTATTTTTGAATATGATGAATTATGGTTGAGTGGATTATTTAATTATAGTTTGTCTTTTAAAGTTATTTTGTAAACAAAAAAGCTTCATTCATATGTAAATATCGGGCATTAGGTTAAATGTGAAAAAACTTGAAACAATTGGGATAGTTTTATAAAAGGTCTTACCGAAATATTTCAATTTTATCGGCCCAAAATATACTCGACAGCGTTCAAGACAGAGCACTTTTAAAGACAGACCGTGTAATAAAATTTAAGGAAGTGTGGTAAATAAATGATAACTAAAGCATCTAAATCGTTTATTTAAAAAGTTTGAAAGTATCTCTAAAAAACAAATATATATGATAAATTTGTTATTTGTATCTGTGTTGATCATATTGGCGTTATCAACATGTCCATTAAATGAAATTGAAGGAACAGAATATGTCTTGACTGGAAATGAAGTGTGTGAATATACAGAGTCGGTTATAATTACATCAAGTAAGTTACAAATAAAAACTGGCTCGACTTTAAAAACAAAAAAAATTTGGAACTTGTTGGAAGTAATATCACACTCGAATCAAATTGCATTTTGAATGTTTCTGAATTGTTGAAAATAAAACATGGAAGTACGTGTAATGCGACTGGCAATTCAATTATAAATACCAATCAATTGGAATTAAGTTCATCAACAATAGATCTTGAAGATACTTCAATTATAAATACCAATCAATTGGAATTAAGTTCAAATTCAAAAATTAATCTTTCTGGAAATTCCATGCTAAATTCTGTTGGGAATGTCATTTTTGTAACCTCTTTATTTAAACTTTCTGAAAATGCGCGCCTTTCAGTGAAAGGTAATATATCTTTAAGTGGTGGTACATCTCCAAATAAACTTTCAGGAAAATCAAGACTTTCTTGTCATTCTTTGAATTCTAAGACAGTTGGCAGTCAGTTTTTAATAAATGAATATTCACACGTTGAGTTGCAAGGCTCTTTTATCTTTAAATTATCTAGAGATATTTTCAAATATTGAGTTCAACACAACGAATTAATTTTGTATCAAAATCATTTGAATTGACAAGAGAATTTGATGCTGATAATCGAAGTACAATTCAAATAGAAAATCTTTCTTTAACTTTGACAAGCACATTTAAAGTCTCCACAGATAGAACAATCAAAGATCTTCCACTCTTTTTTGTATCGAATACGGTTACAATAACTGGGTTTAGTGGTTTTACACATGATTGTGATTTCGACTTTTTGTTCACAAACAACACTCTTAATGAGTCATTATACACAACCCCATTCAAAGTACTTTTAGAAGGTCACCTATTACGGTATGGTGCTTCAGATGAGATATATTGTCATGTGAACCACACTGAAGACACACCATATCCATATTACATCGAAAATTATTGCCCACTCACTGATGCATACATCACGCCAATTGACACCTTTTATCAAATGAAAGTCAAAGTAGATGCGCCTAAACAGAGTTTAAATGTAAAAAGCACAGAAAACGAAGAAAATGTGATTGTAATTGGAAACCAAAAATACGATTTGTCACTCACCGAATTTATTGAGATTGAAATGATATCTGACAACCAAGTTGTTTTGAATAATATTATGATAACAAAAAACGTATTTCTCGTTGCTGTGAATGGGTTTGAATACAATAACACGTCGTGCAAGTCGGGGTATTTCCAAAACGGCATTTTTATCTGTCAAAATCATATACCATGTACTGAAGGTGGTAAGACCACTGATGGAAGATGTGTAGCATGTCAAGTCGCAAATTGTGTGACGTGTGATGGCGACAAAGGTAACTGTATAAAATGCAAAGAGAATTTGACATACAATACCAATACAAACATGTGTGAAGAATACACAAACTGTCTTTCATTTACAAAAGACAAGTGTCTTCGATGTAACGATGGCTTTGTATTTGAAGGTAACAATTGTGTTAAAATCACCGAAGGCAACGGAAATTGCCAAATAAAAGTAAGCGTTCCATCAGAGTGCTTATTGTGTGATTTAACAAACATGACATTAATCAACAGCAATGGAGTATGCAGTGTTGTAGACAGCAATGTTGCTGTTCACAGTCTTTCAAACGTTGTTGAATGCAAAAATGGGTTTTATGTACAAAACAACATGTGTAACAATTGCACAACCAACAACAATGGAAGTCTGTTGTGTTCGTCCAAAAACACTGAGAAGTGTGATAAGACGTGTATATGTGAAAGAAGATGGCAGTGTCTGTGTCAAAAATGTGTGTTCAGAAGGAATAAATAACGAAGAAAATGGGAAGTGTGCACCACAAATAGACAACTGCATAAAATACGTGAATGTTATGTGTGTAGAATGTTCTTTTGAGTACTCATATGATGGCAATGTGAGTTGTGTTGAGCCATCAAAAGTTAATGTGAGCTGTGGAATGGCAACTCCGGTTGGGTGTATCAGATGTGATGGAAATACCTTCCTGAATGTATCGACACACAAATGTGAGGCGTGTAACTCAAATTGTGAAAGTTGTTTGAATTCAACTAAGTGCCTGTCATGTGTAGATGGGTACTTTTTGAGTGACCACATCTGCAAATCCAATGACGCGTTGAATGACACTTGTGCACGAAAAGTGCCAAATGGGAATGGTTGTTTGGAGTGCAAAGTTGGGTATTACAAAAAGGGAACAGATTGTGTGCTGTGTGATGTCAAGTGTGGTGAGTGTATGACAGAGAACTCGTGTATTAAATGCAATGCAACAAATTACAAAACGAGTAATGGCGATTGTCTTCCACGCTCTTCGATTTCGACGTGTGCTGTTGAAGTGACTGAAAGTGGCTGTTCAACGTGTAAAAATGGGTATTACACAGTCAATGGAAATGAGTGTCAGAAGTGTGTTGAAAGGTGTGCAAAGTGTTCAGAACCGACTCGGTGCACATCATGTGATGACACATATGTGCTCAAAAGCACCAGTTGTGTGAGTTATAACACCATCACAAAGTGCACCAAAACAAAAGACTCAAAATGTTCATCATATACATTTTGGTATTCACCAAGTGACGATGGCACGTATTGTTCAAAGACAGCTGTGTGGTGGGTAATACTTCTAATAATTGTCATTGTCATTTCAATTCTTGTGTTGGTCATAGTGTCGGTCTCCTTTGTTATGGTTAAAGTCATAAAGCACAAAAGAGATACCAGCAACTTCACACTTTTCAAATTGAAGCACACCAATATGACTTTTGTCGAAATGGCAAATGGTCTGATAATTCACACCAAAAACAAAGGATTTTTGATCACTGATGATGACCAAGACTATGACGAAATTGATGTTAACAAACAAATCAAGAATCTGTTTTCTATTGGAAACACAACAAACCATAAAGTCAAGATTCAGTTCACTTCTAAAAATGATATTGAAAAATACACAATCCGTTTTGAACCTTCAATTGTAACAATTCCTCCAAAATTCGCGTGTGAATTTAGTCTATTTCTTAGTCCATTGTGTACATCGACGATAGACAGTACTTTTGTTGTTAGTTATCTCTTTACCACGAGTGATAGTACAACGTGTGCATATCATGTGAATTTTAAATACACCACCAAACTATCAACACGACTTGATCCAGACGAGTTGATTGAAGAGAAACAACTCGGAGAAGGTTCTTTTGGAATTGTGTTTAAAGGTTTTTTCAGAGGAAATATCGTTGCTATCAAAAAGATGAAAAATTTAGTCAATTCTTCACATCAAATGGAAGAATTTGAGAATGAGGTTTTAATGTTAGACAAGTTTAGAAGTGAATATATCGTTTACTTCTATGGCGCTGTATTCATACCCAACAAGATATGTATGGTCACTGAATTTGCACAATATGGCAGTTTACAAGATTTAATGAAAAATAAAAAGGGTGAAGTTATTAAAATAAAACTTCGTGTTAAATTCATGTTCGATGCAGCAAAGGGAATTTTATATCTTCATGAAAATGGGATGCTACACAGAGACATCAAACCAGACAACATCCTCATGTTGTCATTAAATTTGAATGGAAATGTTAATGCAAAATTGACAGATTTTGGAAGTGCAAGAAACGTCAATCTACTGATGACTAATATGACGTTCACTAAAGGTATTGGTACACCAATTTACATGGCACCTGAAGTGTTGAAACAGGAAAAATACACAAAAAGCGCGGACGTGTATTCATTCGCAATAACCATGTTTGAATGTTTTTCTTGGAAAGATGCATATCCTATCACCACATTCAAATTTCCTTGGAAAATTGCAGAGTTTGTTTCATCTGGAAAGCGTCCTGATATAAGTGATACAATCCCAATTGTGTTGAATGAATTGATACAAAAATGTTGGGTACAAAAACAAAAAGAGCGATTAGATATTCATCACATAAAAGAACAGTTGCAATCTCTGTTTATATAACAATAATAAAAATATTCAGAAATATACTATAAAAATAATTTGACTTTAACCAGTGATATTAATTGTAATGGTTTTATATGAAGTGGATATTATTATAACATAGAACAATGTTCCTCATTTTTTAACTTGTCAAAAAAACTCCAATTAGAATTAGCAATACATTTGGGTCTCTTAATTTCTTCAATATTTTTCCTGTTTCCATTATGCCTTAGGAAAATAAACAATCATAAAAGTAAAAAGGTTAATATTAATACTAAAACGAGATCATTTAATGGATCATCATTATTAGTATCAATTAACTTTAAAAATGAAAATACTTTCAGTATAATTTCTTTTAGGCTTTCCTTTGTAAAAAATGGATCTTAATTATGTTACATGATGAAATTAATAGGGATAAAAACATGCTTAGGGAAAATTTGCTTTTTGAAAAAATAAGACTGAAAAGGCTATTTTTACGGCAAAAAAAAACATTTTTGGTAAAGCCAAATTTATAAACATTTAAATTATCGGGACATTAGGTATTGTCAAATTTTATATTTTTAAAGTCAAATCTAAAAATAAAAGACAACAAAAAATAAATAACATATAAAAAACAATTAGCGTTTTTATTATTGAAATTAGCGATTTTTTTATTAAATTTTATTTTGAAAAACTAAAAAATATATTTTAAAAATATAGCGTATTTTTCAAATTAACAAGTAAAAAAGATCAATGAAAAAAATAACTAACAACAATAATTTAATTTTAATAAAATGTATATATATATATGGTAGGGTGCGCAATCCCAAACCAAAATTGCTCAAAATGCCCGTTTTTTACATTAAAAATCTATTTGCATAAGACAATGATTATTATTCAATAATCGCAATCTACAAATAACATTTCAAAAAGGAACTTGTAGTTCCTTTTTGAGATATGCCATTTCGACCAAAAAATCAAAGATCAACAACAAAAAACCAGTTTTTTATTATTTGTATTTATAATTTCAAAATCATTTTCATCACCAAAAAGAAAAAAATGCCAATTTCTTCATCTTTTTTTTACAAATCTCCAAAAAACTTTATTCTCTTACCACAAAAATATAAAATTTAATGGTAAAAAAAAGAAAAAAGGAATAACTTTGAAAATAAAAGGTATTAACATGTTTTTTTAAGTTGAGATTATTTTTAGCTAGTCTCAACTTAAAAACAAAAAACAAAGAAATATAATCTGATAAATTGTAAAAAAAACCGAAGTCGGTTTTTCTCTCGGATATAAAATGATTCATTTTATCGTTGTAGACTTTGTTTAGTAATGAAGTTCTAAATGTGGTGGTTCCACACAGCTTCACATTGGGGCCAAAAAAACTCAAATGAGACAAAATAATCATTTGCGTTTGTGATTGAGTGTGGCTATATTTTTTGTTTATGTTTTTTAATATTTACCATACATTCGTTACTGTCATTATAAACAAAAATATTAAAAAACAAAAATAAAAATAAAAGTTGTTATATTTTATACTTATAGGTAGGCCACAGAGCCGTTACCGAAGAAAAAAGTTGCTTATTTTTTGTATTGAAAAAAAGATTCTTGCATTTTTTCTTTGATTATTTATGTTTTTTCTTAAAAAGTAGTGGATAAAGGATTTTTTGTCCTAACTGTTTTTTGTTGGCAAAGAAAAAAAAGAAAGAATTTTTTTCAAATCATAACCTAAATTGGTTATTTTTGTCTTTAAATGGTCGAAAAAAGCACCATTTAATTAAATTTTAATAATATTTTTTACTAAAAACAATAATTATTTTTAAAATTGTATAATAATGTTTTTTAAAAAAAAGAAAAACTTTCAGATTCATTTGGCAAAACGGGATGTTTTTTACCAATAAAGAATAGTTTTCGATAATAATGTAAATAAGCCAATTTTTAATACCTTAATTAACGGGAAATTCATCCTAATGAGTAAAAAATGACACAAAAAATCAACTTTTTTCTGCTCATATTTAAATGGTTCTCAAACCTCAAAAAACAATACCATCAAATAAAAAAGCATTATTTCCGATACATGTCGGCAAGCGAAGAAATTGTCTTTGAGAGAAGTATATAACTTATTATTGTGTGTGTGGGATAATCCAGATTTTGATAAAAAGTTCATGTGTATATCTGAAAAAAAACAAATTGGACAGGACTGAAAAGTCCATTATAAATTATAATCAATTAAAGTCGTTTATGTGCTTTCAGATACGTTGACAGCAGGGTGTACACCAAGTATGTCCTTGAAGATGTTTGTTTTAGAAAGCTTGATGGTGAAAAATAAAATGGTTTTTAAAATATCATTTTTTTGTTGTGGATAGACTTTTAAGAGATTTAATAACAACATTGATTATTTTATTAAAATATATACCAAATGTTTTGGGACCGTCCTTTGCCACCACCACCTCTTAAAATAGAACATTTTTATATATAACATTTATATTTTTTTTCAAAACAATAAAAAAATAATAACAATTTTCTAATGTACTTCCCATAACTGTTGTTTTTATATTATTAAATTAACAAAAAAATCAAATTAATTTAATTATCATTGTAGTTTCAAATTTTCATTGTTGGGAGTTTGTATTTGTGCAAAAGAATTTATTATGACCCCATCTCATTCATTTTAAGCATCTATTTGAACAATTTTGCTTGTTGTGACCAACAACATTACTCAAACTACACTTCCTTATTTGTTTTTTCCCAAACCTCCCTTTCTTGTACGACGTGGTTTTGTTGCATTGTTCTTTTCCACTCTTTCGACTAACACTTGTGGTCTTTCTCCATTTTGGTGTTGTATTTTTGGATCCCTGATGTTCACCTTTGTGTGATGAGCCAAATTTGTAACAGTAGAAGATGTTTCACTACTAACGACCGTTGTGTGTATCTCGTTAGGTGATGCTTTACATTTTTCACTTGGATCTCGACATTTTTCTAAAAATGAACACAGTCTGTCCTTGAGAAACGGACTGCTTTTTATCGCCGCCTCCACTTCTTCAAGACGATAATGAAGATCACTGTGGTCACATAGAGAGTCAGAAAAGCTTTCATGGCGAACACCGATCGTGTGTGTTGTCTTTTTGTATAAATTTCCTATTAGCTTTTCTCTTGAAAAAGCAAGAACTGGGAAATGAAAAATTGAAAATTCGACATACAATTTGACCATATGAATACATGGAACATTGGTCGTTTGATAAGCTTTACACTCACACCAAGTTGTCGTACAAGGTTGTTGAGTTGAACACGCCACAAGCTCATTAGAATGTTTATACATATTACAAAGACTATCAACAACACCACAACTAAGAAAGTGAAGTATAGTTGGTGGTATTATTAAAAGTGCGGTTGTAGTGTCTTCAAATACTTCTCCTTGCAAGTTGGTATCACAGTTTCGACATTGACAAACAACAGTTTTGATAATTTCATCCAGAGGAGTTTCTCTTGATCCCGTTATTAACTTTATGAGTCCGAAAAAACCTTCAATACGATTAGTTGTACGATCACCCGTTTTTAATCGAACTTCAGATGGTAACCATCTGTTTTTCTGTCTTATTAAATTCTCAATGACTCTTATTTTATCATTTTTGTTAATTTTAACTTTCCCCTTTCTTTTGTCTTCTTTTGTTTCTCCAATAATTTCCAAAAATATTTCGGCATCCTCAACGAGTAAATCACCCGTTAAAAATTCCGAATCTGATATGGCTTTTTGAATTCTTTCTCGTTGTTCTTGATTCATTTCATACCCAGTCAGTTCAACCAACTTTGAGATAAAGTTAACTTCGCTCATTTTCCCATCAATCATTAAATAAAAATCATTTACTATTTTTGTATTTTTCCAAACGCCACTTGTAAATCCCTTCTTATATGTCTCACACAATGAAAGATAGTAATTCCGTTAAATGATGTCTCCATTTCTTTTTTAGAAAAGCAACGATCACAGTAGACTGAAGATAAATTCACTTTTTTGCTTTTCAAAAACTCAAACAAATCAATGAACGATTCGGTAGTGCGATTTCTAAGTATAGAGAAAAACAACACCTTTGTTTTGTTGTGAACATCACCGAATACACCAATAACAAGAGGGAAATTGAAAGCGTTTGTTGCAGCAGTATCATCAATAAAGACAAGTGGAGGCATCGAGTTAATATATCTCGTATTAAAGCAATAACAACATTCAAATCTTCCAGTGTCATCTTTGGTTATGTGTGTGGATATATCCCCCAGTGTATTACAATAATCTATTAAACGACTTGCTTGTTCGTAATTCCTTCTGTCATACTCAGCTTTCCCAGTATTTTGAATCCGCTTGGTATTTGCAACAACATCAAGATTAACTCTAACTTTTGCGGGGGTTTCACCCATTGCAAACATGGATGTTATGGTATGCATTTGTTCTTCAGTAAAGAAATATTTGGATCTTGGTGGTAAATATTCAAATGTGTGATTGTGTTTATTGGTAATAATTATATGAGAGATTGAGGTTTTGTCTTGAGTCGAAACAATTCTCAAATTGCTTGAACAATTTTTAAAACAACAACCAAATTTTTGAACGTTTTTAGTTGCGTCGGTGTGAAGCGCTGTATATAATGCACATTGAAGATTACCAGCGGTAAACCTTGTTGTGTTATTCACCCTCTGAGTTATCGTTTTTGCATCATAAACAAGTCTTTTGAGACCGTAAACAACACAAATTGGAGTTTCAACAGTCTCATTTGGATCATTATCATTATAAATGATCGTGTTTTCAATTTCCATGTGTTTTTATTGTTCTGGATATATTAGATTATTAACTTTAATTAAACTAGAAAATCAAAAGGGTTGATACATTAATTAAATTTTATTAGACTATAATATATATATATATATATATATATATATATATATATATATATATATATATATGTTTATCACATTTCGAAATTGTTGAAATTGTAATTAATTAACGAGTAAATTGTGTTCGAAAAAAATAATATAAAAAACAACAGTTATGGGAAGTACATCAGAAAATTGTTATTATTTTTTTATTATTTTGAAAAACAAAAAAATATAAATGTTATATATAAAAATGTTCTATTTTAAGAGGTGGTGGTGGCAAAGGACGGTCCCAAATGTTTTTGGTCTTTAGAAAGATTTGTTGTAGTTTGGAAATTTTTTAATGACATTTTTAATAAATAATAGTAAAAACAATAATTGAAAATGTCTTTAAAAATTTATTGGAAAAAAATAAAATGCCTTCAATTAACAAAGATTTTTTTCTGATTAATTTTTAACTCAAAAATAAAAAACTTTCATTCGAAATCCATTCATGAAACCCAAGTATCAAACCCAACGAGAACCACCAGTGTTCAAAGCGGCAGTTATTTGCAATGTTAATCGACTCAAACGGAGGCTCGAGAACGAGCCTGAAATTTTTGCAAGATTCAAAACCCTAGAAGAAGAAGTGAATCAACAACAATTTGTGAGAGAACAAGTGGAAATCATGCTGTCTGAGTTCTATGATCTGCCACTTACCCGCAAGGGGTGGATTGAAGAATTTAACGTGTTTATGGGAGGAGAAAGAATCGCGGGGTCACAATTGACAAAGATATTCAGTACTTTTAAAAAAAGGTGGCATTCCTTTTTTGAATCTCGACGAGAGGAATGCTCTCAATGCTTTCATATCCAAGGGACAAGAAGAGAGGAAGTTTGTAACTCTGATGGAAGCAACTGAATTTGTTATGACCACATTTGGGAAAAAGATGACAGTCAAACAAATGTCAAGTGTTGTGAGGAAGATTGGTGATCTTGATGTTAAAGTGGCAGAAACAATGGAGAAAGGAAGGGCTGAACTATACCCCAAAGAGGTGAAAATGTACTTGAGAAAGATGGAGAAAATGGTTAGCGGCAAGCACGCTTAGATAATTTATAATCTCGACGAAGTTGGTTTCGACCTCTTTATCGATGGAAAGAAGAAGGCAGTATGTCTTGACACGTTGAGTGGTGAAGCAGTCTATACTACACTGGGATAACGTGGAGATAGAATCACACTTCTAGGGTGCATCTGCGCCAATGGAAAACCCACAAAACAAATGGTGATCACTACTCGACTTCAACTTGATGGAAACGTGCTTATAAACATCAATTCTTCTGCGATTGTTGTGACTCAAAAGGTTGGATTCATCAATTCTGATTTTTTCTTTGAATGGGTGGAAAAAGTCCTCGTGCCTGATGTGAAAAGAAAAAGAAAAGAGTTGAAACTGAAACGAGAGAAAGCCATCTTAATAATGGACGGCTTTAAAGCCTATTATAACAAAAGAGTGCTTGAGTTGTTAAAAATAAATCGAATTGATGTTTTTTTGGTTCCACACTCTTCACATATCTATCAGCCTTGTGACCTCTGTTTATTCTCTTCTTTGAAAGCGCACCATGCCAAAGATGGACTAATAAAAATAGAGTCGGGGTTTCTTGGAACGAGCGAGTCTTCTCTCTTCAAATTTGTTTACCGACTTCGTGAATAAGAGGCTTTTTGCGATGTCTAAAATCGAAAGGCTAATTGTGCATTGTCGACTCCTTCTTCGCAAAGGCGCGTCCAGTATACATAAATAGTTCTTTCAATTAGGAAGGCATTGTGTTAACAAAAAAGGAGCACGAAGAAAGTTCATCTATTCATGGATTCCAATCAGACTCGTTGGTACCGATCGCCAAGTGTGACTTTACATATACAAGAAGATTGAAAAAAGGTAAAAGACATCTTTATTAAAGAATATGCTGAAAAGGTTGGTTGAATTTAAAGAATGTTTTGAAATCAAAAAACCAACAAAAAACCATTGTCCAAAAAATTGAATAATTTACTTGAAGATTTTTTTAGGTTTTAAAATTCAAAATAAAAAATCATCATTCCATTTAAAAAAAATAAAATTTAATTATATTTACTAAAAAATATTATTAAAATCAAATATAGAGCATTTTATTGTTTAAATATTTAAAATGAAAATTTAATTCATATATAGTATGTTTTTAAATTAAATAAATTCAATTATAGTTGAAATAAATACCCTCCGATTACTATTTTGACAATAAAAAACTAAATTAATCAAAAAACAACACTGCTCAACACGACCCAACACGGCTCAATCGAGCCCACTTTACTTTTTTATATTACATCACAACAAACCCATATATTGCTTATAATTTGATTTATTTTTCGTTGTTTTTAATTTTATATTTATTTTCATTATAAACCAAAAATAAAAAAGATATTTTTTATTTTTAGAACACATTTTTTAATTTTGGCATATTTTCATTTTGGTAAAAACTTTTCAAAAATTTATCAATACCCATAGAAATCTTCCAATTTGTTCTGTAACCCCTATGTCGCCGGTGTTGGCTCTGTGGCCTTCCTATAAATATATTATTAACATTAATGATCATGATGTAGATTTATATTATAATAAAATAACCAAGGGAATATTTATCTTAAAACCAACTGGTCTTAGAAGTATAAAACCAACTTATTTTAAAAAAGATAAATCGTGGAAAGCATATCAAATTAAAGTTAAGTGTGAACTTTATGAAGTTAAACCGAAGGTCCACAAAGAAGTTATTCCAAGATCAAAGGCGGTTGAAAAACCAATGAATGAAACTGATAAAGAAGATAACTCTTCAAACAAACCAAAGCGAATCATTAAAACTAAAACAATATCATTCAGTACTAATATATTTGAAAATCCAGATGAACCAGTGAAAACAATGACAGAATGGTTATCAGAAAAATAATTAAGCTTTAGCTCGCAATGAAATTAAGCATTAAATTGTTTTGTAATTTCTTTTAGGATATTATCACTAATCTTATTACTAATTCTATAATGATATAATGGTATCACAAAACTTTTCATTACATTTTCCATTTTATCATATTGTTCTAATAATTCTTTATTTTTGGTTTTCAATTCTACAAGTTCATCATTGATAGATGATAAATCAATATTTTTAGTTTCATTTTCTATTTGTGATAATTTATCACTATATTTACTCATATGTTTGTTAAAACGTTTTTCTCTTATTCTCACTCGCTTTTTAATAATTTCCAAATTGCTTTTATTTTTACAAAATACATATCCTTTAATATAAATGCTAGTGTTTTAATCTTTTGTATCAATATTATTTACATCTGTATGTTTAACAACATATCGATTTATTTCTTTATTACATCTTCTAACATTTTCAGATTCATTCATGTCATATCTTTTAGTTATATTATCCATTTCTTTTATTAATTTATCAGCCTTCGGCACGAGTTTATAGTCAACATCCTTTGACGACTCTGCTTCATCCATCTTATTTTTATTATTAGTATTTGTTGTGATTCTCTAGTCAATTTTTGGCATGAGTTTCTCGTCAGTTTCATAATTACTCATTTTTTCGATTATTACTCATCTGATTGTTATCAATCTTTTTTCTGTGTTAAAATATTTATTCATGTTACTTAATAAGTCCATTATATTGACAGAAAAATACCAAAAATAACATCTTGGGATTTATATGGTCCATTGTGTGGGATAAATATGGGAATAATATGGTATAACGTGTAAATATATGTCAAAACAATATGTTTAAGTATTATACCTCTGAAAAGTCTAAACATATTAACATAATAGTAGGTATTTCATTTATTCTATTCTTAGTAATTTTATAACTATTAGGTGAAAAAATAATTATATCTGTGGTTTTAGCTGTTTGATATATTTGTAATTTTGAATATATTTATTGTGAGATATCTTTAGCTTCTTTAACAATCAAATCTAAAGAAATTATAAGTTAAATTAACATTTCAACAAAGCGAATTCACTCACAACAAAGCTGATTCATTCAAAACAAATAGAATTCACTCACAACAAAAATAATTTTCTCACATCAATTGTAAGATTTTTTATCATTATTTATTTTTTGTAAACTAATTAAACATTTAATTAAATATTATTAAATTGATTTAAGCATATATCATATTGACTATATCTATACGTTTCTCATTCGCAACTTTCTTTTTTTCTTGTCTGTCGTTGATGCCTGAGTACATTGATGTTCCACCAGACAAAACGATGTTTCCGTACAAGTCCTTTCTGATATCGACATTGCATTTTATAATTGAGTTGTAAGTTGTCTCGTGGATACCTGATGCTTCCACACCAATGAATAATGACTGGAAGTTTGCTTTTAAGCATCTGAATCTTTCGTTTACAATGGTGATGACTTCACCATTTGATAAATAATGTGATTTTTTAAGTTTTGATGATGAAGCAGATTTTGCATTTTTTAGTCAAATTAATTGCAAGGCTGCAAAGTTATTTATAGTAATGAGCAACTATTTATTTTTTGAATTTTTATTCCAAAAATAACAAGAAATATGTGTGTTATTTCACACAATTATTTGATGTTGATTTACGATATTTATTGGATATTCAAATGTTTTTTTCGTGATATTAAGATTAAAAACGATAATTTTTGATTATAAATTGGTTTTGCACATTGTTGTTTAAAATAGTGCAACTTGAAACTATAAATCTATTTATAACAAATCTTGAAATATCAACTCAATTATCGTGTTTATTCAAATTTATGTCAAGTATTTTCTTTTTTTATCATAAACTTTTTTGTTTGTAGTAAGTGACGTTGTTTTATGTAAGATTTAATTTGTACTTTTTATTAATTTAAACCATTTTATTGTTTAGCAATCTTCAAATAAAAACGCAAAAATGTTCTTTGCATTTAATTTGTTAAAATAGTATTCATAAATTAAAAATAACTATAATTGTCTTGCATAATAAAACAATTGAACAAAACGGGGTAACCTTACTGTACGTATTTTTTAAATTTGAACAAAAACTTCTATTTAAAAACACAAAACACAATTCGTTACAAAATCAATTGAATAAACAATACATAATTAATTATTTAATATTTTAACTATAATTGTTAATAAAATTATAAGTGACAATTGTTTGCCTATTCTTTATTGATCCATTGTCGTAGAATTACAGATAGTCGTTAATTTGAAATATTCTTTAAAATTATCTATTTTAAAACAAAAATTTTATCATATTTTTGTTATTTGGTGTGTTAGAATAACATTATTTTACCATTATTGTTATTTAAAAAATAATTGATTATAATAATTATTATATTAATATTTTAAACTTTATATTATTAATGGTAAAATAATATTAATAATATAGTTTGTTATCAATTCTAACATCCAAATAATTTCAATTGTTATCTATATAACAACTACATCAATTATATCACATATAATCATTTTATTGATCATTCACTAAACTAGTGTGTTTCTGTTTATATAAATTATATGCATATTTGTTTTGTTTTAAATTTGAACTGTGTATTTCAGTCAAAACGCGCTTTATTACAAACACTATGTATCTTCTATAATGATAATATTATAAAAAGGGGTGATTATACCATTTTTGTTATAATTATACATAAAATACAATATAGTTTTAATTACACAACATTGTTATATAAATATGATCACTTATCACTTCGATGAAAACACGTTGTTGTAAAGATATGATTGTTGATGTGTTATTGTGTCAAAATTATGTCTGTTGATTGTTATTATGATATATATATAGTCAAATTCAAAAAAAGGACTGATAAATGTTCCACTATCAATTAAACATTAAATACCTAAGTTTTAAAATAATCCGATTTTTGGATCAAAAAAAGTTAAGATGAAGATATTTCTTATTTAGTCTTAAATAAAAATTATTTATCAAAGAATATCTTTTTTCGAGCTTATTTAAAATTCGGAAGGTTTTTTGAAGTTAAATAATCCAATTTTCATTTCTTATTTTCAAAAAAATTACATAATTAAAACATACGGTAATATACCAAAAATCAATATAAGTTAACTTCTTTATATTTGAAGTTAAAAATAACATAGTAATTAAAAAGTTAAATTTTAAAAATCAATATTAGAAATAATAATGAAACAGTATTTTTATAATTAAATTGATTTTTAAAATAATTAATGAACAGTGATATGATTTGTGAAAAAAACAACGTCAATTATTTTAGCCAAATTTAATTAATTATTTATTTAGATAACAAAAACAATAAAAAAGTAGTAAAAACAGTAAAGTTTTGTAGGTTTATTACATTCTGTTTATCCCATCATTTATTACTTACATCACAACAATTTGAAAGATCTTGCATTTATTTATCATTCTAACAAATCACATTTTGAAGTTATTTGTAAAATACAATTAATTAATTTATCTTAAAATGGTTTCAAATATAAATATTATTCAAATATGTTTAAAATAATGAAAAAGTGTTAAAATTGTTGTTCATAAAACTTTTATCATGTTGACTTTGACAATGTAAGAAAACGAAGTCAATAAAAACAAAATTATTTAATAAAGATCAAATAATGAAGCATAATCATACGAGAAATATCATGACCACAGAACCAATAAATGTATCCTTTAACGAAACTATACAACCAAGGTTGTCGATTTCCAAATCAATTGAAAAAATGGTGACAGGGTCTGTATGGTTGACCGAATTAAACTTTGTTTTCACCACACAACGTCTTTTTTGTGACACCTTTAAGGAAGTTATAATCAACACTCGGATATAAAACGAAGACAACTTGAAGATATGTATGAAAACAAACTGACGACAAATGAAATATGCTGTGAAGTCTTAGTTGGTACAGGAACTGGAATACGCGTTACTTTTCTATTGCCTCCAGGTTTTTTCATTGAAAATCACAAAAACATGACACCGTAGATTTACAGCAAATGCTGGGGCAAATTGAGAATAAAATAGAACAAATGGAAAGGTCAATAAACAATATTGGATTATTTAAAAATCATATTGTGAGTCCATTCGCATCTATTGAAGAGAATATCAATCAATGTGTCAAATATGGAATTGACACACCGTACAAAAATAGAAAGGAATTTGTTAAATGTGGAATTTCTAGTCCATGAATTGGGAGATTGTATAAAATATTAAAAGGCGAAGTTTCTGAAAAACGGGGAAGACCCAAGACTGACAGTGCAATTGAAGAATATGTCATGCGCAGGACTTGCAATAAAATTCACGAAAGTTGCAAAATGTGTGCTCGTTCTGTACTGAAAACCAAACACGTGTCAGTTTTATCGTCAATGATTCTGAGAATAAGAAAATCTCACAAATATGTATTTTCAAAACCACTATGAATTATTTATTTAACAAAAAGAAATATAATGCAACGTCGTCGATTTGTGTTGTCTCAATTAAAAATAATAAACAATGAAAGAAAACATAACTTGGTGTTAAAAAGAAAAAGAAAAACAAAACTGTTTTTTGGATGAAAGCATTTTTTCTTGGTGCACAGATAAAAATGGTCCAATATGGAGGGAAAGGGGGCGAGTGAACAAAAAATACTTTTCTTTTTCTCCAAAGAAATCTGCAAGTGTGATGGCTTTTGGTATAATTGGTAACAATTATAAAAGTCAATTGGTAAGGTGTCCTCTAAACATGAACTCTTACAATTATCAAAAATGCTCACTGACAACTTCTTAATAGATCAAGTAAAAAAAAGGAGGCAAGAATTATCAATTTGTACAAGACCACGCTCCTTGTCATAATGCCAAATCAACTCGTGAGTTCTTTGAAGAAAACATTTTTTCATATCTTCACGACTGGCCAGGAAGCAGTCCAGATTTAAATCCCATTGAAAATATGTGGGGGTTATGAAGAAACGTATGGTATTAATTCCTTTAATGAAAAAAGAAGACATATTTGATGAAGCACAAAAGGTGTGGAACTCAATACCACTCCATTTTGTTAATAACCTTGTAAATTCTTTTGAATCGCGTTTGTTAAAATGTCAAAAAAATAAATTTTTATCTATACCTATAAAATGATTTTATTTACTTTTATTGTCCTTTAGTTTATGTATATAACAATTTAAAAAAAATTATAGTTTTTTATAAAACAAGTTTCTTAATGTTTTTTTTAAAAATTGAAAATAAGATAAGGAAATCAGACGCTTTTTTATTCCGATTTTTGAATCAGACTATATATATAACAATCATAATTATTAAACTATTATAAATAACATGATACATTGTAAATAAGATATTGATTTATTTTATTATAAATTATAGTTTAAAGTGTTAACATTGGTATATATCATGATGTCTTTACATTTATGTTTTTCTTTTTTTTATTATCTCTATACATTTACAATAAGTTTTTGTTTGTTGCTCAAAAATGCATAATTAGAAAATAAATAAATAGTGGCTGCAAAATAAACATTTATTTACCAAACACAAATCTTTATATTCTAAATAGAATGCATAAAACACGTTTTGCCTTTTGTTTTTGTTTGAAAATGATAAAAAATTCAAATTACAAACAATGAATTCATATCTTGCTTCCTCGACAGTGGCACGACGTGACTTTCAACAAGTGGTCACAAAACCTCGTGGTAATCAAAGTTTATTTAAATGCGACTACTTTTATTGTTAAAGTTGATTTTATACATTTTTCTCAATTTTGCGATTTTTGATACTTTTGAAAATGTATTTTAGATATTGTTTGTTTATTTTATACTTATTTTCTTTAAGATTTATTTTTTCAAAGTCGGAACAAACAAAAGTGTCTTTTCGTCTTATCTTATTTCTTTTACAAAAAATAGTAAAACCCATTTTTTAAATTATTGTATTTTTCAAAGTTTACAAAAAATCTATTTATTTTCCCTTGTTATTGTTTTGATCAATTGCATATTGAAATTTCAAGACACCTCAAAGTCTGTTATTTATTTTTTTTCTTTGTTATTTAATGATGTAATTGATTTTGAATATTCTGGACCAGTATGTTTTATGATGCAATTTGGTCTTTGTTATATTTTATAATTAATTTTATTATCGTAATTGGTTGTGGACATCTCAATAAATTTTTGATCTGACTTTTCCATTGAACTGTGACTTGTTTCTGAAAAGATCAAGCAAAAAAGTGAACCTTTGTTCATCCCAACTTCAACAAAAGGTTCACTTTTTTTTACTATAATTTATAAAAATTATAGTAAAATTATATATATACCATAAAAATATACTAGAGCCGTCTTTCCAGGGTGTCAAGCTTTTTTGAAAAAATTAAAGAAAAAAGGTCATATTTACATTACAATTGACTAAGATTTTTATTTTTTTACAAAATTTGATTTTTCCCGTCCTCGAAGGGTTAATTATTATTAAAAGTATATCATAAAATTAACAAAAAACGATAAGTAATATTAAATTGTTGTTAATAAGAGTTTGATTCATTTCTTTATTATTTTTTTTTAATTTACTAATTTATTGTTGTTATTTTTTTTTAGCAGTTGTTATTATTTTCCCGCTTTTTGTACAAGATTAAACACAAATAATGAATAATGATTAATAGGCCCAAACTTTATCATAAATAAAATTTCTTATTAATAACATTATTTAATTATAATGTTTATTACAATAATTTCTCAACTATTATTTTTAATTGATTTAATTAATTACAAAAATGTAAAGTGTTGTCAATCTGATATGGTCCATTTGTATTTCCATTCATAATGAATGTTTTCTCTAAAATATTTTTAAAAATTCAAAATCTTAAAAATGGTTTTTTTCTGAAACAAAAAAAAAATTATTAATCCAATCAATCCATCATAACTAAAAGTGTTTCAATTTTTGTGAAACGTCTACAAAATACACAAAAAGCAAGACTTTTTTATAATTAATATAAGATCATTAGATCAGATTTCACTCAAACATATCGACTTCCATTATCAATTGTTATTTTATTTTAATTGAAAATGGTCTGGGTATTTTTACACTAATTGTTTTATCTTTAAGAACTTTGAATAAAAACAAATATCTATGGGCAATGAACAAGGAAAACACCATTTTCAAAAAGGTTCTTTACGTGATTTAGTAGGTAAAGAAGACTCTTGTTTGTATACAGATGTATATGGTTCTGCAGAACTCTCTTCTCCTATTACACCAAGAACCCCACGAGTATCTGAAGATCCTGAAGACAAAGAGAAAACCACCAAAACACAAGAACCTCAAATCAAATCGTCGAAGTCACCAAAGCTATTTTTTAATAAAATTACCCCACCAAAAAACACAAAAGCTGATAAAAATGAACGAATCGAAAACAACGTTTTCTTCTCGAAAAAAAGATTTAAGTCGTCGCTCAATTTAAAAGAAAAAAGTGAAGAGCCGAAGCGAATGGCGATAACGCCACGCGTCGAAGATGAGATTCAAAAGTCCCCACGTGTCAAAGTGCATACTTCACAACAAAATGAAAATCGGATGTCACTACAGTCTTCCGATGGAGAGAGTACGTTGTCCAATTTATCAAAACGTATTATCAAGAGAAGGGCAACGCGTGACGTTACTAACCTCTTTGAGCCAAAAGACACTATATCCTATTTTTTATCTCAAAAGAAAAGAGTTGTACAACTCCTCCAAACAAAATTTGGTCTTAACAAATATTCAGTGTTATACGACTCTACGCTCGACGAACTTTCTGCGCGCTCTTTCAACTCGAAAATTTCGTGTCAGCAAAACATTTTCATATTTGCAATAACAAAGGAGAATGCCGTCTTTGGGTGCTTTCAACAGAGTCTAATACCCCCGCCACCCAAGTTCCAGTCACTCCGAACCAAGACAGAGAATTTCTATGTCTTTGGGTTTGCTGATGAATTTTCGGAACCCATCATAAGAAACGATATTAAAGATGAGACTGGGATCGTGTTATATCCAAACAAAGAGAATGGTTTTGTTTTCTCGTGTATTGGTGCGTTTTGGATCATGCAAGACTGGAAATTGTATATACAGCAAAATGTGGGGGGAAGTTTTAATGCAGATCCAACGTGGAAGAATCCATATTTAAGAATCAAAATCCACAAGTTCTTAAATTTGGATTCTTTAGTAGTCCTTGTATGGGAATGATGAACATTGTTTTACTAATTTGACTGTTTGTTGTTTGTTCCAAAACGTAAAAAGTGATACAAAATACTTCGTTATTGACAGACCTAACACTGTAACATCACTTTGGCGGATCTTGGACTTTTTTGAGCTTCTTTTCTATCTCTTTCTTCTTCTTCTTTTGTTCCCGCTCGAGTTTTTCCTTCTTCTTGATCTCCTCCTTCAAAAGTTTTTTCTGTGCTTTGCGCTCGACTTCTTGTGACTTCCGCATTTCGCGCGATGACATCGTTGCGGCTTGTCGCGTCGTCCCGCTCGCCGATTTGATCGACAAAAACGACCGCTCCGATTTCGTCACTTTTTTCGAGTCGGAAAACCGTGGGGAGGTCATCGGTTGTAATTGGTACAATCGCATTTGCAGTGTTTTCGAGTATACTTTCTTCTGTCTCAAAATTTCGTTTGTTTTCTCGTATTCTGCCTTCAATTTAGCAATTTGCCTGTTTTTGGTATTAATTTCATCTAAAGCCGCAGTGAGGTACATATAGTAGTTTCTCGAGAACGCTTCAAACGAGTGCAATACATTCACATAAATATCGAAATCGTTATCTGACGTCGCGCTGAGTGAAAGTGCTTTATCGACTTGTGCTCGAATCTTTGGGTGTAGCATTCTCTTCACTGGTAATATGTTGCACTTGATGAGAGATGCCAGTTCAACAACAGAAATGTTTTTCAAAGGTGTCGCCTCGTCTATTGCAAAACTTGTTCGTTCAAAGAGTGCGTCGATCTGTCCAAACTCATTGAAGTCTTTCACCAGTGCATTTAAGTTGAGAATGTATGGCTCCGTCGAGTGCGTCATCAACTTTTCAAACGTCTCCGCGATGAACAAAATGACATCCAAGTCCTGATCTATGTCTTGGAATGCTCTTCTCAGCATTCTCTTGTTCTTCATAAAGTTAATAATAGTCAATTTGATGATTCTACTAAATATCGAGTTTGTGAAGCCTTTCTCCTTATACTTTTGTTCAGACAAAAGGTCGGAAATGCCTTTCAAAAACATCAAATAGTCTGTTGGTATCAATTTGGTGTTAATTTCAAAGTCTGTTCTGAACATGAATACAATTTTGAGTAACTGCTGAATAGAGACATAATACTCCTCATTCATCTCTTTGGTGAATTCTTCAGTATTACCCTTAAAGAGTTGAATATTGATTGAGTGCAAAAGGTCCTTATTTGATAGAAATGATTTTGTTGTTTCTTTGCAGAAGTCAAAAAAGTTGTCGATAGTGTATTGGTAATTAAAAGCGGAGAAGAATGGGTATGTTTCAGTGATGTCGTTTGGTTTACCTATAAATCAGTGTTATGGCATTTCTTCATTATGAAACAAACCGTTCTGTAAAAATTCCTTTTGAAATGCCCAAATAAATAAGTCCTGGAGGCGATTGTTAGCTCTAAAATAATCCATCACACAAAGTGCGTTTGTTTGGCAAAAAGGGTCCTTAGGGTCGTATATCAACTTGGTGTTATTGACTTGTGCGTCGCAAAAGAAAATCCATTTATAACAAACATTACAACAAATCGACATCAAAAGGTTGGACGACGGATCAAACAAAAGGGAGTCGAGAAGTTCTTTGTCAAGCATTAAGTGACTGTTTTGAGTTGTTTGTTTCAATTTCAATTTTCAAAATCGAAAACACTATTGTTTCGAAAAACAAATATCAAGTTGTCTTTTTGTTTTCTATAACATTTTTCATTTCATTTTTCCATGATTTTAAATACTATTTTAATTTTTATTATTTAACCATTGTTCATATATTTTTTTGTTATATAAAAATTTGTTTTATATTTTTATCTTTTTTGGTTTATTTTTAACAAAATTATAATAAAATTATAGTTTATTTTGTCAAAATATTATATTATAATAAAAAAAGTTAAAAACCCAAATAAAGAAAAACATAAAAACAAACTATTTTATTTATAGAACAAACAAAATCGTTTCTGATTTTTTGTTTGAAATAACAAATGTTAATAATAATAATATTGCATATTAATTTCTGTAGTAAAAAGCTAAAAATAATTAAAAAGTATTATGTTTTGTGTTTTTTGATAAAACATTTTGAAGATTAAAATAGCACTTCAACCATAAGAAAACCAGAATTTTTATTCTTTGTTATTGATAAACATTACAATTTATATTTATCATTTAATTATTAATATTAATATTAATTAATTTACAACATTATATTATATAATTAATCATAAACTATAATATAATATAATATAATATAATATAATATAATATAATATAATATAATATAATATAATATAATATAATAATTATAACATATCAAAAAAATTAAAAAATTAATGGAAAAACGCCGAAACAAGGAATAACTCATTTAATAGTAAGAATACTATAAATAAATTAACTAACAAAAAGAATTATAATTCACAATTTAGTCAAAGTGACGTAGTCCAGTCTATAGAGTAAAGTTTTTTCAATATTTTCAGTCTCTGTAATAACACAAAAGACCCAATTTTCAGGGGAGTCTGAAACTTCAGCTGGTATTACTAATCTTTTGGCACAGCCATCACAATATTCGATTTCAAACGTTGCCAAATGGACGAGTTCTACATGGCGATTACACAGAACTGATACTTCGCTTTGTGTTGCGATAATGACGAAATCGAACATAGCGCAACTCATCACTTTCATATCGACAACACGTTCAACGTCTTTGAATTGGCTTGACAAATATGGATTTCCTGCTTCGTCGAGACACACAATTTTCTCATCACTTGATAATAAATATGTCACATCTTTTCCAGCAGTCAAATGTAAAATAGTCTCATCGACTGTCACATCAAGTTGGATGTTCCCATTTTTCCACTTCAAAATTCTATTCCGACAAATCTTACTTTGAAGGAGTACAACACTGTTTTCTACACACAATACATATTCTCCTTTGATGGTCTCTATTAGACTCCCCTCCGTTGTCACAAACTTGATCTCATCTTTTGTCACAATCACTATGATATACCCACACACGCATACCCGTAGGACATACCCACTCTTTATCACAATATCACGAATGGTCACATTCTTCAACCCTATTTTGCCCATCACAATGCCTTCTTTCGTCGGTGCACAGACGTCTTGCACACACCCGTGGAACACTTCTCCCAATACAAACCCCTTCTTGACGTGTTTCAACAACACGGCTTGAATACTGTTTTCTGTAATGACGCAGAAGTTGTTGTTATTCATCTCGATTTTCAAAAATCGGTACTTGTCCTTTTGAAACTCCAATTTGTCGCAATAGAGTGGCTCTTTCGTCACTTTGAAATCGCACCGGAAGATGTTCACAAGCTTATCAAAATTGTATGTGTAGTTTCTTTCCTTCTCTTTTCTGTAATTTAGAAACGTCGCAGATATCCACTTATGCAACGTCTTTGATATTTTAGGCGACTCCAAAAGCACCTGCATATTCTGCAAGCACTGTCGTGGCGTCTTTGCAAAATTTTCCGGAAATTTCGAGTTCTTCAGGCTGTTGAGATCACAGAACCATCCCTGTGGAAAGTTTCCCAAGACGTTTTCAATTGATTTCACTTTCATGTTTTCTTTCCGTGAGTTAAAAGTGTCAAATATAATCACAGGAAAGAGTTTGGAGGAGAAGTAGATGTCCTCCAGACTTCCACTAAAATCCGAACAGATTTTTGGGAAGATCTGTTGCTTCTCCATTTCATTAATAAATTGCAGATATTTGAAATTGGTCATATCGCCGTCTTGCCACAAGATTGATTGTTGTTGCCGAGGGGATGGGGTGTTTCTAGTCTTTGGAGACGAGCTTGAATTTGAACGAGAGATGAGGTTAATTGCTTTAAAGAGTGAACTCATCGAACGCGTCTTTTGTTTCGTCCGTGTTTTTGGGAGCTCGAGTAAAACCACCTCATCAAAGTAACTCAACTCGATCTTCTTCAGTTCCTCTTGATGCTTCTTTAAGTGGTCTTCCACTTCTCTTTCTAACACATTTTTGAATGTGAAGTCGTCAAATATACGCTTTAGGTTTTCATAGAAGCACTTATTAGCACATCGAATAGATGGTATTGGTTTAAGAAGGTCTTCTTCTATTAACACAAGAGAATTTGGAAGAATTTTAAAGAGACTTTGGACCTCATGGAGATACCACACAAAAAAGGAGAGTGACACATTCTGTGGTATCAATGGTATTATGAAATTAAGAAACGAACAAATTGGTTTGAATTGGTCGACATTAAATGTCCCCGACATGATAAGAACTTTGATATGAAGAATAAAGAGTCGAACAAATAAGATGTAAATATCCTTATATCCTTCTTTGTTAAAATAATCGACCCATTCATCACTTAGCCAATGAAGTGATAAGAACGTGACATATGCATCAACCAACTCGTACTCGTCCAACAAACTTTTTGTCATTGGATCAATCCCATATCCTGTGTTGAGACACACAACAGAAAGTATAACACCAACTTCAATGTGACACTCTCCCTCGCATATATATAATGAAATGAGTGAAAGAAGAAATTTGAGAAATTGTTTATTGTCGGGGAGTAACAGCCGAACAATATCAATGACAGTTTTAATGTGCGTTTTCGTCACTTTCATCGCATTGTAAAAGATTTTCATCACTGCCGGCATCTCACTATCATCTATAAACTCAACAACTATTTTACCTAATGAATCCGCCCACGTGGAGACACTTGAAACAATTTGATATATATTATGAGTCCCTCTACATGACCCGATGTCTTTCATAATATTCGTGATGATCTCTTTCTCTTGTGTAGTAAATGGTGGGTGGAGTGTTTCAAGGTAATACGGCAACACACTGCAATGTTCTCCTGAATTTACAGCTCGTTGAAAATCAACATCTTGAAGTGTCGGATTTTCTTCGTCAATGTGAGGTTTCATAAAGTACGACAAATACAGACAAGTGGTGTACATCCCATACGAGCAGACTGATGTTTCGTATTTCCCTTTCCCTCCTATTTCAGACCAAATCTGCAAACATCTATTCGATTATTTACGTCCATTCCAATTAAATATGCAAATAATAAACAACAAACAGGCGAGCCACTAATTCATTTTGTGATTTGATTTTACAATGAATTTGTTCAATATATGGAAGTAGTTTTATTTGGTACATCGTCAAGTTTTTATTTAAGAAGTAAGTGATGATGTAAAACACTATCCAATTGTCCGAATTTAATAGATTGAGGCATTCATCAAATAACAGTTCTTCATTATCTAATATACTCATCATATACTGACACATCCAAACCTTTGTTTTAATCTCCATATCACCACTTAACAATTTTAATATCTCTTGACACGTGACTTCTTTGAATATTTCAAACTTGCGCTCTTGTGGTAAAATCCCGTTGATTTCTTTGATAAAAACGGTTTGTTGCAACGCACTCAATTTGTATGGAAGACTAAAAAGCCTCATAAAAGTCATTTTAAGAAACATTTTATTCAGCGCCATATTCATTATCCCACACGCCAATTTAATGTGTTCCACTATGATCTCATCACTCTTGTTCAGTATCACCAACTCAAGTTGATCAAACATAAAAGTGATGATATGTCTCTCAACACAACACTCCAAAACACTTCTCTCAGATACCATCACACCAAACAACAGTTTAATAACACTTTGAATATTTTCTTTTGGTATTTGTGTGATAATCCTCACCAGATCCTTATTGTTAAACTCATTGCTTTATTTATTTCTTCTTTTATTCAAAATGTGCTTTTTTATTCAAAAAAGAACAAACCAAAATATTATTTTCATCTCCAAAAATGTCAGTCAACTTCCTTTGTAAAAACTCGACAATTGGATGGACAAAATAAGTCGTTTTAACATCATACAACAGAACTCCTTCATATGGAGCCATATTCTCACATGTTCCAAATGTTCTCACAAAAGGTTCTTCATTCGAACTCTGCTCTTTCTACTCGATAAGTTCTTTTTCTCTTTAATACATGTATAAAGAATATATTAATAATAAAAAAGTATTAAACAAACCACAACTCCAATATTCAAAATGAGTTTCCCTCGTTGCACCTCTTGTTGTGGGACTTTCCAATCGTCGAAGTCGTACCACTTTCTCTCTGCTATCTCTTTGATGTCACTGCAGTCCGAGTACATTTTAATACCACTGATTTTGCCTATAAATAACGACCCAACACTATTTTTTTTGCCCCCAATATGAAACACGACATTTTGATTGAATTGGAAATGGTCTAAGACATCAAAGACCTTTTGCGTGTCATTGATTTGAATGACAAAATGTTTTTCAGAGCAAAAGATGACGACCGAATTCCATACGCCTATTTTTATCTCGACATCAGTGTCGTATTCTTTTGTGAAGGACATGCCCGTCGAGTAACACTTTTGAGACGGAGACGAAACGGTTTTGTTCTCATTCGTGACTTTCTTCCGTATCGTTTCTCTCTTGATGACAAGATGTTTGGTACTCCCATCGATCATACACGTGATTTTGATTGTTGTTGCATCGAACATGAATACATAAGGGGTCGCATTTGTGTCGATGTGATCGATTTGGAACTGTGAAGAAAGAGCAAACGACGTGACTGGAAATGACTTCAGTTGAGTGATAAATGAGAGTGTAGTGTTTAGCCCGTTGAATAAGTACCACCCTTTAATTGATTGGTTCAACCCACTTTCGATGAGGTACCCCGTCAAGTACGAAGTTTGCATCGGGTTGAGTGTTTTATAATACGAAATGATTTTCTGGAAGTTGGTCTGTGTCAAGTTGAATGGCGCTATTTTCATTGCGGACCGAATTAGCACTTTGGACACGTCATCATTTTGTTCCTTTTCTATAAGTTCTAAAAGAGCGGAAAATAATTGTGGTTCCAATGCCTTATAATTCACAGGGATCTCTATTAGTTTTTCAAAGAGCTCAAAAATCTCTTTGGTTGGATAGAGACGTAACACGTCGTAAAAATTGCTTTTTAATTCATAGTAATACGTTTTGCTGTCGACGGGTAAACTGTTCTGAACGCCACAAAGTAGATTGTATTGGTCTACTGACCCAGAGCACGGCGTAATTGCTGTGCTTGAAAGCATCAATTTTTTTCATTTTTTAGTTGGAAGTTTTCTTTTCATATTTTCAGACGAACGTTTTGATTATTTTGAAAAGTATTGATGGACTGTTGAAGAAGATGGAGAGAAAATCTTTATGCATTTTTTTCAATGAAATAACGGGTTTGTTTTTTCCATTTCGAAAATGTTGTTTTATTTCCTTTTTTGCTTCGCTCTTCTTCATCAAACTAAAAAACTTGTTTGTATGAAATAAGTTACTATTATTTACTATGTTTAATAATGATTTTTTATCATAAAACAATAATTTGAAAAACTCGATATCTAAAATTAGGTATTCAATTAAATGTTATAAATAACATTTATTACAACTTTAATTGAAACGAAAAAACAAACAAGTTTTTTTTATTAGTTCTTATTAATATATTAATTAATTAAAATACTAATTCAAAACAAATTTTGAATTAAAAAACATGCAATTTAAAAATATTCGTTAATTAAATGTAGACAATTATTATAATTACTTATTATTATTAATTATAATAAATTTAAATAATTAGTACTTTATTACAATTTACAACAAATCGTAAATTATGATCTTTTAAAGAGAAAGGACGGACATGGGGACCAAGGACGGGAATATAGGCCGAAGGACGTCCTCCCGTTATAAAGGACGTCCTCCCTGTGTATATGGTGTTTTTTCTATTATTTTCGCGTCCGCGGCATTTTTAAAACTATATAATGAGTTATAATATTACTATAAATTTACTATTATAAAATATAATTATTTCCAAAAATAAATTTAATCAAAGACAAATTTTAAACAACAAGTAATTTCGTTATAAATTAATGGTTTTTATAAAAAAAGCAAATTTAATTAGTTTTTCAAAACTTAATGGTAAAATGAAAAAAAAATGATAAATTTTTATAAACCAATAATATATAACAAAATTACTTGTTAAATAGTTTTTGTCTTTGAATTAATTTATTTTTGGAAATAATTATATTTTTTGATTGTATATTTATAATAAAAATATACTTCGTTATATAGTTTCGATAATGAATAAAAAATGCCGCGGACACGAAAATAATAGAAAAGACACCATATACACAGGGAGGACGTCCTTTATAGCGGGAGGACGTCCTTAAACCACAAAGGACGTCCTTCGGCCTATATTCCCGTCCTTCGTCCCCGTGTCCATCCTTTCTCTTAAAAATATTTCATTTGAAATAAAAAAATATAATTATAATCAACACAATAATTTATAGAAAAATTTTACTATAAAAAATCATAAATATATTAAAACAGAAAAAATCATAAAGTAACCAATGAAAGCCCTAGTACTATTGTAAATATTCAAAAACTAATATATAGTAAAAAAACTAGAACTAGTAATAAAAGCACAACTTTGAAAACCACATTCTTTCACACCATCTGGATGGTCGTCCGTATAAAAAATGGTCTTTGGACCAAATTCCCTGACATCTCGGAGATATTCGATGTGATCACGCCGTGTGTCCAGGACACACCACACGTCATTCAAACAACACTTCTTCAAGGCGGTGGCAACGATGCCATTCTTGACATAGACAACAACGTCGACTTTTGTTTTAAGCAGCCAGAGATTGAGATGGACTTCTCCTGACTACTAATTGAGTGTATGTTTGCACTGGCTTTTCAGAACCCATAGAAATAGTATTTTACTATAAAATTTAGCATTTGTTTTATATTAGCAACATAAAATACGGCAACTATTTGTTAGAGTCTTATGCCTCAAACCAATTCCTCATTCAACAAAGAAATAACACTGGAGTTGGTATCTTTGAAAAATGGGTCCAACTCATTCATATCACTATCAACTGCTTGCAATGATAACATCAGTTGTTCCATATCCCATCTTTCATCATGAGTCTTCCAACAGTTTCTCAGAATGATTTTAAGGTCCTCTCGAAGGTTCTCACGAACACGTGGGAACTGCGCGTTTTTGATCATTTCATAAATCTCGAACTTGTTCATATTACCGTACGGCTTCTCTTTGTTCACAACTTCATTCAAAACTACACCAAAACTATACACATCACTCCTCTCGTCTAAGTCCTGACCAAATATTTGTTCGGGAGATAAGTAACAGTCGTCGCCCTCTTCCCGGACATACCCATTGTTTAACGCACACCCACGAGAGATGTCAAAGGCCTTTGGACTGACGTTTCCAAAAAAGTGTGGCTCGTTGTGTTGAGTAAAGTCATATAACTTTTGTGCACATAACGCGACTGTTTGGATGATCTCTTTGTCCGTCCCGGAAATGGCAGTAAGAGGAATCTCTTCAACGACATTTCTTTTTGAGGAAGAAAGCGGAAGACAGTAATTTCGACTGTGGTGAATGGAAGTCCCACTTTTGACTGTTTCAATGAGTAAACCAGGGGTCTGCTCAAGTGTTTTGATTGTCACATCGGTCTTCTCGTTGGGGACAAGAGCGAACGAATTTGGTTCGATGGACCCCGAGGGCAAAATTGTCACCACCACTTCTTGTTGTGACATTGAAGTGTTTGTTAGAGTGACTTTCATTTGGTCATCGAAGTATTCTGGGAGTGTCACTTCTAAAGGGAAAATCGTTGGGATGTTTGGGGAAGGTCTTAAAAAGTAGTCGAAGAGTAAAAAGAGTGTAATGAACACAGTAATACTCACTGCTACAATATCTACAATTCGAATAACTTTTAAAGGGATAGTAAGTTCTTTAGGCGTTTGATAACACTTTCCTTCAAATAGAATATAATCTTTAGGACATGTAGTTAAAGTTGAATTCGTTTGATTTGTTGAGTTGGTCGTGTTTGTTGGTTGTGAAATAATTGAGACAATGAAGAGTGATAAGATAAGGACCTTGGTCATATTAAACAGTTCGTCTTAAAAATGTGTTTTTTTATCAAGCTATTTTATTAATTTTAATTTATTAATTGTACTTTGACGTATTGAATAAAACTTATCTATTAATAATTGTATACCTTTTTTTAAATAATAAAACAAACTATAATTATTATTTTTCTTTTCATTGGTTAAAATTTATTTAATATTTTTTTCTTTTTATTTGTAACAAAAAAGATACAAATAAATTATAACACACAAAAAGCTATTAACAAATACAATTTCATTGGGGGAGAAAAAAGAATTGGTTAGTTAATATTTTTGTTATTCAAAATTTGATATACCATATGATATAGTATTATTTACTATTTCAATAGTACACCTGTAGTGCTATTAATGTGAATGAAAAATACAATCATTATTTGAGTAAGAGGCAAAATTGTATTATAACATACCAATGGACTATAATAAAAAGGTATTTCAAGTCATTATAACAACTTATTGCCACCATTGACACAATATTGCCTTTTTTATAGAAAAGAAAAATATCATTTGATAGAAAAAGAAGCAAAACAACTTGCAAAACATTCACATGACTTACACACAAGTTCCTGTCCAAATGCAGACGTACGCACAACCAGTCCAAGTTGTATATCAGCAACCACAGATGTACACCCTCCAACAACAACAAATGGAAGTCCCACAGCAACAACAAGCCTTCAAACAAAACACATCATACTTTGGAACTGCACTCTTGTATTTTATTGGATACATCTTCCCACTCATTTGGATGGTCCAACTCTTTTACATCTTCTCAAAAGACGAGAACACCAAGTTGTGGGGGTACAGAGCACTCTCTGCGTTGTTGTTGTATCTTGTTATCTCATTCATGACGTGTTACATAGTGTTCCAGCTGGATGTCGAGTACTGTTACACATACCTCTATAGCCGAAATTAATCACTTCTTCGTGTATTTTTGTTTTATATAACAAACTAAAAACAAAGCAATCAATACCAAAGAACTTGCAAATCATGTCTTCATTCAAACTCGAGACGGTCTTCCTCATGAACGTTGTTCTCTATCTCCCCCTTTCAGACGTGAAGACTTTTTACACTGTCTCACACTCTACACAACAAAGTTGTCTCAGAATGAAGACAAACCCATGGGGTTATAGCGACGATATACATCCAACTGCTTCACTTGAAACAATTCACACGTTTCTCCCAAACATCGAGACCCTCACAATCCCTCACAAAGTCGTTGGTGTTGTGTTTCAGCAATTTCGTCACGCGAAACAAGTCTCTTACATCGACAATTTCACAGAAAAAGAAACTACAAAACAATACAGACACATCGAAGCACTCAAAGCAAAGAACAAATTTACAACAACACTTGCAGAGACAACAATATACATCGGCCCTGCAAACATCATTCCAACTGACACTTCGAGAGTCTCGAAAATAGTTTGTTTGCAGGATTTCTTCTTCTTCACAAAGAAGATCGAGTGGTCTGCATTTCCCGTTCTCAAAACAATTGTCATCTTTTTGGTCTTCACAAACGAAACACTCAAAGCCGATTTGATGCAAATTAAAGAGCAGTGTATCCCAGACTCTATCAACGTCGTTTTCAAAACCACTTTCGCGTTTAAGCAACTTTTAACTTCAACAATTAAAAACATCTTCAACACTTTTTTGGATGGGGGAATTCCTGTGATATTCAATGAAGATGAAAATCACACCACATTTGTATATTCACAACAGTTCAACACAAACTTCGCCAAACTCGAGAACTCGAAAAAGCAACTTGAGTATCAACGGTTGTACCTCCCAACGAAACTTAATATCAGCAACAATGGAGACTACAACATTTTCAATTACCTCAAAAAGGTGAAGATTTACAATGCGAGTGTTGTGCTTCCACCATCTATCGAAGAGATACATATCATGAAGAAAACTGTTCTTATTGAGAACATCGAGTGTCTCAGCAACTTAAAGACGATTTGTAAGTGCGACGATTATAATGTGCCGACACGTCTCGTCGACAAAATTGTATTTGACACTGTCACATTCAACGATTACTACCCTTTCATCTATGTCATGTTTCTTTGTTACATTCTTCTTAAGCTTATGGTGATGCTATTTGTATCACATTTTGACATCTCCACGGCAATCTTGTCGGTCAAAATTGAATCGATGTTGTTCATGGACGCGTTACTTCTCTTTGTGTGTGGCGTCACCTTATTTGACAATCGGAACATACTCGTCTTTGTGTCCGTCTCAATTGTTACGATCTTTTGTTTGGTATTTACTTACTGCGGCTTTTATGTGACTAACACTCTGACAACAACAATTTACGTGAGCTCTCAGTGCATCCTTTCTCTGTTTTGTGCAAGTCTAACGGGAAACTTCAACTCGGGGGCTTACAAATTCTCGGAAAAGCTGTACCACTACACACACTTTAAAGTCCTCCACTTCATCTTCTCACGCTTTGAAGGTAAAAACGGTGAGAAAATGTGTAGACAAGTTAAAATACCTTTCATGTACTTTGTCATTGCTTTGTCGTTGTTTAGCATCTCTTGTATGGCACATACAACGTGGTACTTTATTATTCTCTTAATGTGTGGCGTTGTGTTTATACTCGTCTACACATATTTCTTGCTCTTTGGAGATTCACAGCTTTGAAATTTTTGTGATGTGATTAAATTGAAAAACTCGAAGACAAAGGTACAAATTAGTGGTAGTGTTTATACTAATTTTTGTCATTGAATTATTATTATTATTAATGTTATTAGTATTCTAATAAATATGGTATTTTGTTTGTCGCACTTTTTGATGAATTATAGTATAAATTATAGTTAAATATAATATAATCATTATGTGATATTATAGTAAACTATAATTGATAAATTAATACAATCGGGTTTAACCCAGAAATACATCAATACAAAAATTACAAAAAAAACAAAAATGAAATCAAAACAAAAACCGAGAAAAACTCTGTGTTTTGAACCAAAAACAAAGAAAGAAGAAGAACTGAAAAATCAAAGATGATTGCGGTATTCTTTACCCTTTGTCTAGTCCACGCTCTATACCCAAAGGAAGGCCCTGTGTTCGGGTATTCAAATGAGTTTGTTTTTATATCAATTTGTGTGACTTTTTCATCGCGGACCGATAAAACCGAATCATAAAACTAACCAAAAGCGTCACTTTTGAAATTAAGGTCAACGAGACGTGCTCTTTCGATGAATTCTACAAAGCATTCCAAAGCTCTGTAGCTAGCGAAGTCCAACAAGTCGTCTATTTTGTTGATTACAACATCAACACTGATGATTTTGAAAAGTTCACCACCTATGATGGGTACTCAGTCCTTAGAGTTTGTTTTCCGTTGTCAACATGTCCAATTTTCTTTCTACATATGTTTCGTCATTCCACCCCAACAATCTTATTTTTTGAGAAACTATCAAAAATTAATTATCAAACCACTCATTTATAATGTAATTATGCAAATATAATTAATTTTACCATAATATGGTAAATCACTCACTCAAAGAGCGGAATAAAACAAGCGAAGAGCTCGTTCGAAGGTGAGAGGACCAACGTGACGTTCGAACAGGTTATCGAAAAAATTGATGAAACTATCAACAACAAGGTGTTTGAAAACCGCACAGTGTATCTTTTCAGTGACGCCGCAACACTCACAGACAACATCTTACTCCCATTCTCTTATAAGACCAACGTCAAGTACGTCAACCAAGACTTTTACAACATCACAGGGAAGGCTTTGATCATTTTCGCCTTCAGAAATGTTGCGTCGTTCGAGAGGTTACAAGAAAACAATGAAATCATGAGATCATTTTTTGCTAAAAACGAGAACACCACGCAGGCTGTGTTTTATAGCACTTTGAGACTTGTGGAGAAGAATACTATTAACGAGGCGACATGGTATAACATGGCGTCTACTGCTTTTATTTTCACTATACTCATATGGCTCATCTTGATGTGGTTCTTGCTCTACTTTATGCTTAGAGTACAGAGCATTGGTCCGGCTGTTCTTGGTAAGCCAAAAACAGACTAATTTGACTTTTAAAGATTAAATTCTATTGCATTTAATTTAATAATTCTTTGATTATTATATATTTTATTATATATTTTATTATATATTTGGTTAAAATATCTTTTTAAGTGAATAAAATTATAAAAGAACCATAAAAACAATGAAATAGAAAAAATATCCGACCAAAAGAACTGTGAAATTCTTCAAAATGAAAAGAGGAAACTGAAAATTAATAAAAGTGATGTTATTTATTGTTGGGCTGGCTCTTTTATTGTGTGCGAAAGCGTTTCAAATGGAAATCCCAGTGAATGGGTTCAGGTGTGTCACTGAAGAAGTGTTTGAAGGCCAAGTAGTGCATGGTATATATGGTCTTGCTCCTGGTGCACAGTTGAACGGACGTCAACTTGAGTTTAAAGTATTTGATGATGAAGGAGAGGAGTTGTTAGTGTCAGAAATTAAAGAGGGAGAAACCAAAAACAAATATGCGTTGACACCGGACAACGACGGCGATTTAGATTTTTGTTTTGTAGATACCACTGCTATGGGCTCTAAAGTTCCTTTAATGGTGACTTTAGACATCACCGTGGGGTTTAATGATAAACAACAAACACCACTCGCTGGAAAGGACAAAATCTCTCATACAGAAGAGATGGTCGACGACGCACACAAATCTGCGTATTACATCATCGAGTATTTACAAGAGTGCCAAAAAATAGAATACCACAGAAGAGATATTAATGAGGCTACAAACTCAAGAACAATGTGGTTCTCAATTTTGACAATGATTATCGTCGTTTTACTTACATTGTTCCAAGTAAATTCCCTCAAAAACTTCTTCTTGAGAAGAAAACTCATTTAATCTTTTAGTCGTAGTTTACTCTCTTTAAAAAAACATTTTGAATAACATTTTGTAAGTGTTGTAATATCTAATTATAATGATTATTTTATTAATAATGTATTAGATTTAATTAGTTATGTAAATATTAATAATTTTACATACAAGTATATAAATTGTTATATATATAATATAATTATAGTATAGTTTATTTTAATAAATAAATACTTTATAACAAAACATATTTATAAAAAAGATTTAGTTTGAAAAACATGTGTAAAACAATTTAATTAATAAAATAGTTATTCTATAAAAAAATAATGGTTCTAAAATCATTATTATGTGTGTGTTTTTGGTATTCACAAACTGTTTCAAAAACATGTTTTGTGTTGATTTTTCCCGTTATTTAATGCGAAAAAAGTGTTATTAAACCCAAATTTAATAAACAAATCTCTATCCGACGACTTAACTCAAATTAACACAGAGAACTGAAAACATAGTGTAAATGATATTACTCTTCTTCCTTCCTTTCTTGACATTGTCTGTTCCAAATCGCCCACCAAAATGTACCAGCAGGACATGGTGTGGGTTGAATAGATTCCGTTCTGCATCTCATTACACGACATCCCCTATGAAATACACGTTACAATCGAATGTGTTGACATTTAAATTAACACCGACGTGGTCAGTGAATCAAAATCTGCAACTCTCTATTTTTGCATATGGAGACAATCAAATATCAGTGAAGTACAACTGCCCGTCCACTCACATTAGATACAATGTCCCAATTAACACGGCGTTTTCTATAGGATCTCCACAGACTGTTACTGTACTCTCTAAGTCAGCTTCTGTATCTGCATTCAAAGCTGGTAACACAAAGATTGAAGTGTATTCCAATGCGTCTGTTGTATTAGATGGAAAGATTTGCATTGGATGCGATGGACAATTTCTGTATAGAGAGGACACAAAGTCTGATTACTATCCCGTTGGTATTGATGTCGAGTTTCCGACTACTTCTATTTTTGGATCAGGAAAGAACGTCCAACAACCATTACCTTTAACAGACTCTACTAACACCGATACCGAGTTCGAAGAACCTTATCACTTCTACGCGTCAGGGTACACCACTTTCCCAGTACATTCCACATCACCACAATATGGCACTTTACCCATCTTTGTATCACACAAACCCGGATCGACCACAGGTGTCATATTTAATAATCCAACAGACACTTTCATTGATGTAACAACAAGTGAGAACATGGGCAATAACTCGAAGATCATTACAACATCAGAAGACGGCGATATTTCTTTGTACATCATTTTAAAGGAGAACCCGAAGGAATTCTACAGAGCATATTACAATCTGACAGGCGTGTCGTTTATGCCGCCTCGATTTGCAGTTGGCTTTCATAACAGCAAGTGGGGGTACAACTCGCAGAATGTAGTTGAGAGTGTCGACAGTGATGCTGACAAATATGGCTTTATGTACGACGCTATTTGGCTCGATATAGAACATACCCACAAGAAGCAATACTTCACGTGGGCCGACGCGGTCTTCCCAGACCCCCTTGGTTTACAAAACACGTTGAAGTCGAAGAATAGATACTTAATAACTATTCAAGACTGCCATATAGCTACAGATGACGGGTATTACGTTCATGATGAAGGAGTGTCGAACAACTATTTCATTAAAAAAGATGAAAATATGACTGAGGACTATGTTGGTGCGTGTTGGCCTGTCCGATCAAATTGGGTCGACTTTTTGAATGAGAAGGCCCGGACGTGGTGGGCTGGGTTATATGGGTACGACAAATATCAGAAGACCACTAACATCGTCTTTGCTTGGAACGACATGAACGAACCAACGGAATTTGATATCCAAGATTTGTTAGTGAAGAAGGACGCAAGACACTATGATGGAACTCTTCATAGAAATGTTCATAACTTGTATGGGATGTTGCAACAGATGTCGACACAAAAGGGACAATTAGCGCGAGATAACAATCAGAGGAGAAGCTTTGTCTTGACGCGATCTTACTACTTTGGGTCACAGAAATATGGAGCGATGTGGACTGGAGATTCCGATGCGACTTTTGAATACTTGTCGAGTCAAATTTCTCAGATTGTGCAACTCAACATGTTAGGGTTCTTCTGTGGAGGAGATGTCGGGGGTTTTGCACATGACCCAACGACAGAGTTGCTTATTCGGTGGTATCAAGCCGGAGCATTACAACCGTTCTTTAGACAGCACTGTACAAATACGGCACCACGAAGAGAGCCGTGGCTGTATGAACAAAGTGTCTCTGATAACTTAAAGAAGTCCGTGAATTTGCGATACCGAATGCTCCCATATTGGTATTCTTTGTTGTATTACCACAGAGTTAACCAAGTCCCAGCTTTAAGAAGTATGGTCTACCAATTCCCAGAAGAAATCAATTTGATGGCGTTGGAGAATCAATACATGATTGGAGACACGTATTTGGTGTCCCCCGTCATTGTCTCTGGAGAGACTAAACACACAGTGCAACTTCCTAAAGGCGTGTGGTACGACTATTTCAATAATACCAAGTATGAGGGAGGTGTCGAAGTCAGTTTGGACGTTGATCTTGAAACTATTCCAATCTATGGAAGAGGCGGATATATTGGAACAGAGAGAATTGTGTCTGAAGGAAGAAAATCGAGTTCCGAGAGTGAGAAGAACGATCATTTGAGAATTGTGATCTATGATAACATGGGACAAGCAATTGGACTGTTTTATACTGATGATGGGATTAGTGTTGATAATTCTAATGGGTACGTCGATGTGAAAATGGCGATGGGAAATTACTTGTTCAGCTATAATGTGACAGGTGATTATTTATATGGCGAATATGTCGGTGAAATCGTGTTGGTGACCGACAAAGTAATTTCAAAAGTTTCTGTTTTGAGAGATGGGGAAGACACAGTAGAAGTGGGATTTGTTCAAAAAGACGGAAAAGTTGTTGTACCAAATTTCAACAACCACTTCAGTTCACAATGGACACATTGGACAGTCAAGTTTGAGTAATCAAATTCCAATTTTTTTTTTCTTTGTGGTTATTATTATTATCAAATAATAGTTTTCTATACATCAGAAAACTTTTAAGTTGATTGTTATAAAAATAAAACTATTTACAATTAATTTTTTTTCTGGTTTTTAATTCGATTTTGTTAAAAAACATTCCAGTCGAACGGAGTGAAATGAACTGAAAACATTCATTTTCAAGATGTAAATCATTTAACTTTATAATAATTAATATTATTAATATAAATTTTTTAATTATTAAATATAATAAATATATTAATTAATTAATTCAAAAAATAATAATTTTAATTGATATTATATTAATTAACTTACAATCATTGAATGTATTTATAAAATGTGATAAAAGAACTTTATTTGTATTACAAAATTACACAATTTGAATCATTAATATAACTAAAAAATAATAACAAGTTTACTATAATATTTATAATAAACAACAGTTAACAAAACAAAAAATAAATAAATTATTTTCCAACGACAAAAGAAACTAAAAATCGATAAGCGGCATTATATTAACCAAACAAATAATTAACATTTTTTACTCTTCAATATTTAAACTAAAAAGCTTAAAAAAACGAAAAATGTATAAAAACGCTAAGAATGCCGAAGAAAAAATACCCAAACGAGTTTTTAATTCAAAAGAAGAAAAAAGAAGTTGCAAAAACTCACAAGAAAAATCCGGAAACTACAAAACGAATTCTTTGGAGCTCAAAGATCACAAAAAATAGTAAAATGTTATTCCCGACCTCAAAAGCGCTTTTCCCAACAACTCGAAATCCAAATGGGCTTTGGCGATGGGAAAATAGCAGAAACGACTTCTGAGCAAGCAGAGACCTCTGTCGTCATATCAGAAGAAGTTGAGAAACGCCTTGATGAGTTGACTGAAACGACTCAGACATTAGAAAACAGTGGTGACTTGAAGTTTAAAAAGAAACGGTTGAACTTCTTCAAGCTCTTTCAGTTCATGAAGAAAGACGAAGTCACTGCACAAGTGATTGAGACGGAACTGAAAGAAATACAAGTAGAGACCAATCTTGTTCACAAAGAACCCATTAACATAATCAAAGACATTCCAATTGATATGAAAAATGTGGTCGATACCAAAGTCGAAGTCCTTCCCCCCAAAGAAGTCGAACTGAAAAAGTCCGAAGTCAATCCACTTGTCCATATTAGTGACACTAAAATCCCTCTTTGGATCGATGAGAATGATAAAACTAAGGTCCGTATTATGAGGGCGGGATTTTTAATTGGTGTCGGAGCAATGATCATGATATGTGTCATCTTTTTTATAGTGTTAGGAATTTTGATTTAGTGTTTGTGTGATTTATTTTGTTATATATAACATTTTTTGAACCGAATAATATATAATATTGTTATGTTCTATATAACATAATATTATTATATATAAAATAGTTTTTTTATTATTATAAATTAGTATCATAGTAGTATGATACTAATTATCAATTAGTAATTATTACTATATTTTTTAAAACACTGTTTGAACTAACATTTTGATTGAAGTAAAAATAATTAAAAAAAATGGAACTTTTTTCATTTCAAAATGACTTAAAAAACTCCAAAAATTGTGATTCGCAAAAATGTTTTCTCTTTGAAACAAACAAATTTTTATATAATTTCAATTATAATATTAATCTAATACATTGAATAATAAATGCAGTTTTGGGAAAGGAGAACTTACCACAAAAACTGTCATTTAAGAAGATATGAAATTATTAAAATAGCTTGCACAAAAAGAATTTATGAGATAAAAGAACTATACGATTAGTAAGTTAATAATTATATTTCTAGTAAAAAAGACCGCGCTGGGAATGCCGAGACCAGAAAGAGAAAAAAAGCGAGACAAATGGTATCGAAATGTCCCTTCAAATCGGGGCGAGTTTTTCCAAAAAAGAAAGAAAAAAACAAAAACTGGGACGTGTCATTTATTTTCTTGCTAGATAACCAAAAATACAAGTAGTCTATTCCAAAGATAGAATATGAGGAAGTGTATTGAACTCAAAAAAGTGTGACCCACAGAGATGATCAGTGTGCATGAAGAGATGAAGTCGAATACTGAAAGTGTTTATCCACATGCTCATATGAAAGATGAACGACAATGCGTCACTCCTTTAGAGAAGAGGATTCCTGTATTGAAGGCGTCAAGAGAGTCTCGAAATTTCCAAACTCTGCAGCAAAGTCTGTGTATTGGTCTCTTAAGTAGCATATGTGAAGTGACCATTAAACAGCCTGCGAAGAAGAGCGTAGTGACGCAACAGTATATGCGCATCAAATCACTTGATTTCGGTGACGGAGAAATTTTGGTTGTGAATGAGTTTCTTAAAAAGCGATGTATCGAACAAAAGAACGATGACGTCGTCCACGGAGTCCCTCAGAAGACTGCTGTGCGACGATTTCAGAACAACAAAAAGATCGAACTGTTACATCTGTTGATCGATTTGTTAGAAATTAGAGGGGGGTTCGACTTTGAGAGTAAATACACTGAAGGGAAGGTCGGGACTAACAAACAAGAGTCGATCAAAAAGGTAATGAAAGAGGGTTGTGTCATAATTGGTGCAGAGAACTTAATTGAAAAGGCAGATTGTGTCAATAAAATCATCACTGACAAGTTGGCAAACTGTAAGAAAGAGCTCATCATAAAAAGAAAGGATAAAACAATTGCTGAAGTACTCCATACTTTCTTTTGATTGTCTGTGTGTATTTACTCATCATTTGTAATTGAGATATGTTCTTATATCTTCTTGATCTTAATAATGTGGGAATAACTCATAGTATGTTTTTATTTATTATTAATTTATTTATTATAAAATTTTAATAAAGATATTCTTCCTAATAGGTTTTATTCAAAAATTATGTTTTTATAATTTATTTATGGTTTTGTTGTAATAAAATAATGACAATTCAAACTAAATTAATATTGTTTTAATGAAAAAACTTATTTTTAATAATTTGTATTTAATTGATTTATTTTAGTTTTATAAACTATAAAATAAAAGTGTTAAAGTTTTATTTATAAGGTTAATAATAAGTCTTTGCCAAAATATTAACCATTTACAATTTTGGAAAAATTTTACTCGACTGCTTATTTGCCAAATATTTTAAAATCTAATTAAATTAAACTTATAATAAAAATATCTATTATTTTATTTAATACATTTCTTTTTTTATTCTTTAATAACAGCTTTTTTATAAGGAATATACCGGGGCATAAAAACATTATTTCAATAAATGCCCGAACCAAAAAAACACTTCAATATTTTAATTATTCAAACCAAGTTCTTCAATGCAATTGTTGACATCATTTTCGTTAAATGCAACCAAGTCTGTTTCATAAATTGGGACTCTTTGAACAGTTTTTCCTATCAGTATCATGTCTTCATCGCGAAGTAAACTAACATTAATTCTTTCGGATATATCTTCTTGGTTTGGTACGTTTGTTTCAAGCGTAGCACGTGTTGATATTCCCGTTCCAACAAATTCGTTCAAAGTTGTTGGTTGATGGTAATTTGCCCCAACCAAATGAGCTCTATTCAAATCTCCACTGAGCTGTGTTAGTATTTTATTTGCAATCCCAGGAATTTGAATACAGGCTGTCCCCACTTCAGTTCTGAATTCACCAGAAGCCATTCTGTTGATCAAATAAAACGGAAACTTCCTCAAAGGCTTTTTGCTAATAGAAAAGTTGCAAAGTGAATGAGCAACATAAACCAAACATTCGTAATTTGATAATGAGTGACTATATCTGTTTCTCATCAGACCAAATGAAGTTATCAGCCTTCCAAAATGGTTTTCGACAATTATCCTAACGCTTGAATGAATCGTGTTAAAAGCTTTTATCAACACTGGATCAACAATAAATATAAAATCATCAGTATCCGCACATAACTTCGCTTCATCAAATTCGAATAAATTATCTTGTATTTTTATTTCAAGTTTTTTTAGTTTTTTTTCATGAATCACATGAACTTTGAAATTTATTTGTTCTTCGAATTCAATTGGGAAAAAGACTGTAGCCATGATACGACAAGACAGATTTCTTTCATTTTGAGGAATTAGGTCAAAAAAACCTTTTAATTCTTTATTTTGTGTCTGGTATAGTTCATCTACTCTGTTTACAAATCCACTAACAATACCTTCAAACTCGTTCTTTTTCACAATTCCTTCAAAAGACACCACACAACCAATACAATACACTCCTGTTTGATTTGAACATTCAATTTTTGTTTCGATATCTTTGGATATGGCTACCGTTTCTCGTTTTTGGTTTTTACCAAATGGGGTTATCGTTTGATTTATTCCTTTATAACCACCGTCAGCTAAAACCCACTCTCCTTTTTTATTAAAAAGGAGTCCCACGAAGCCTTATAAACACTTAAATCATTGACAGAGCACTGAATGGGTGATCCAACCTTTACCGCCATCCCGAAATAGTCGACATATACTTCCGTTTTTACGCCACTTGAGTTGTGCTTAAATGAGTAATAATTTGTGTCTTTTACTTGTCTGTTTTTTTCATTCGCTTTTCTTTTTGTTGTTATATTTTGGTATTATCCTACTATATTGGTCACGTCCGTCGACAATATAGTAGGAATTTTCCAATTCTGGTATCACTTTTCCAAAATAAGGTTCTCTTCCGAACAATAGATTAACACGACAATTTTCAGGAATTTTATATATTGAATCAATAAAACACGTTTTCATTTTACTGGAAAATATTTTTAACGCTTTATCAACATTTTTTTCAACGAAAGAACTCATTGTACATTTTGACACAATATGATCAGAATTAATGTCACAATGAAATTTATAATCTAGTATTTCATATAAAGTTAAATAAAAAAACCCGTGTTTGACTTATGTAAGCAAAAGAAGAAATAATTCTTTGCAATTAAGTGTTGAATTTTTATGAAATGTCAAAAATGTCAAATCTCTTTTTTGAACAACATATTGATAATTCACCACATTCCACTTTCCGTTGCTTGTTACCAGATCAAATATTTCATCAAATTCTTTATAACTGAATCCAGTTAAACACTCAACACTAGTGTTTTTTCTTTTTTCGAGAATATTTATTGGATAATCCATTTGCTCAATTTTGTTTGTTGGTGTGTTCGGGTATTTTGTCAATGGTGTAATTGGTGCATCATAATCATAATAAGTTCTTTGTAATTCTCGTGGTGTATTTGGCAAAATTGTATCGTTCAATAAAACTCTTTGCATTTGAATTGGCCTCTCTGTTAAAGATAATTGTCTTTGAAAAGTATTGAATGTATTTATGAAAAGTTGATTTTGTTGTACTACTTGTTGTAATAATTGTGTTGAAAGTTGTACCAATTGTGTCCGTTGTTGTGTCAATTGGATGGTCATGTTTCTTCGTCTTCTGCTTTGTGGTCTCGTGGTTTGTTGTGCTGTTGCTTGCATCGTTGGATTATTATTTCTAATTGCGTTAAATGTATGTAAAAATCTAAGTGCTCTGGGCATAATCCAAAATATGATTATTTTTATTTTAAACCCTATCTTAAGATTAGATGAATTTTAAAGTGATGACTATTTTTTCCTTTTTTTACCAAGTTAAGTGTTGTTTTTGTGTGTAAAGTTGTTATAATATTTATGATAATTATAAATATTATAATGTATGGTTATTTTTCTAATAGTGAAATAGTTTTCAAATAGTTGAAAATAATTAAAAGAAATAGTAAATGATATTGAGGTATGTAATTATTTGGCAAATTTTCAGGTTTGTAATATTTTGGCAAAGACTTATATTATCAAAAAATACAGCAAATTATGATAAAAGAAATCTATTAATATATGATTAAATAAACTATAATAAAATATTTATTTTGTTATATGGTTTTTGAATAATAACTAATAATAATAATATAATTATGTTATAAAAATATTAATAAATCATAGTAAAATTATTAATAGATTGTAGTTATTTAATTGACTTTTTGTTATAATATATATAATAGTAAATTTATTAAATAATCTAATACCGACTTTGAATCATAAAAATACAAATCATCGAAATCTTTCGAACGTAAGTTTTTTTTTATATTTACAAAACATATTATTGTTTTGAAAATCATTTTTCAAACACGACTTTTTTTGACCTTTTTCGATAATTTAGCGGTTAGAAACGAATTATATTAACCTTGTCACCATTATTGCCGATACTAAAATACAAAACAACAACATCACACTTTATAAGAAAAATAATAAAACAATTCTTAATTATTAATTGGTTTTACAAGTATAGTAAATGGCATAAAACGGGTTATAATGAACGAATTCGGCTTTTCTAAAAGTACTTGCAAATTAATGGCAACTAAAAATGATAAGAAACACATAAAGCGACTTTTCATAAAACCAAAACACAAAGAATAGGACCAAAAGAGCGGGAGCATATAATGAATTATGACACGAGAAACGCATTATAAGAGAAAAATAACAAAAGAGAGTATAGTATTGATAAACAATAATATATTAATTATGAAGGTATTGGTTATATAAATAATTGATACAAACATTTTTATCTGCCTTTCAACCCCCAAATGACGAATATATGAACGAAAAGAGTTGAAAAAATATAAACAGGTGGGAACTTAAAAAAAGAAAGCAGATGGCTCAGTTTGTATCTCTCGACACCTTAATTGATTCTCACATGTAGACAAACAAAAACAAAAGAAAAGTCCGTTCACGTTGTTTTGATCGGATTACCCAAAACTGGGAAAACGGCATTAGCGAGTCAGTTCTGTGTTTGTTCTTATACAAGTTAAATGTTATCTTAATGACTTAAAAATAATTAAAAGATTTTATTTGAGAAATAGAAATAGAAAACAATAACACGTAGAATAGAGAAGTCCCAACAGAATATATCCCAACAGCTCAAAACACTGCAATGGATACAACCCTACAAGTGGGCAAAAACACTTATCGTTTTATTTTTGTTTGTTATTGATTCAAACATTCTATTAATACATTGAATACAATTTATATACAGGATGACTGCTCTGGTGACTATTTATTGAACTCAAGAACAACAGCGAACTCGATATTGTCGAAAGGAAAGATTCACATCTTCGTCATCTCCCCCACTGAATCGGACTCAGCCGAATACATTCAAGGCTTTTTTAAAGAGACTGGAAAGGAGTCGGACCCCATTTATAGATTTGTATACTCGACACACGCCGATTGTCCAGATGAGGACGGCATCGTCCAAGCATGCAAAGAGTTCATTCCTGACGACTGCAAATTGTTCGAGTACGACGTGTTTAAGCAAAAAGACCAGATTATCTCAAACTTCACTGATTTTGTCAAGAGGGCTGTAGTGGAGCATCCCGAACTTTTTGAGGGATGTTCGGCGACTGGGGAAAAGAAAAAGAAGGCCGAGACTAAAGAGGAACCTAAAGAGAAAAAAGGGGAAAAAGAGAAAAAGGGAGATGGTGAGAAAAAGGGGAAATGCCAAATCCTTTAACTTTCTGTTTTAGTTTTTTCTGTTGTTCATTGATTTTGAATAATAGTAATTTTTTAGAATTTTTACTATTAACAGAATAATAAAAAATGATTATTTAATCATCAAATACATCGTCAAACACATCAAAAAATTCTTGAACGGTGGAGAAGAGTGGACTCTCTGTGATAGTGGAGATGATAAGAAGAACAACTACAAAGAGAAAAAGTACTGCACACAAACACACGAAAATTTTGTGACAAATAACAGTTTGAGGTATATCTCCTTGGTCGTGATATGAAGAAACAACAGCATCTTGTGATGGCTCAAAACATCTGTTTCTCAACATTTAAAAGAATGTGAATTGTTTGTATAACCTGAAAATTCTTGTGATTTGATAGCCCATTTTTATATAGTTTAAGTATGGTTTAATTGTAAAACAAATACTTTTCTGTGTTTGAACGTGTTTTAACCAATTATATCACACTCTTTTTTTGTGGTGTTATACAAACATAAAATTTTGAATATATAACCCGTCTTTGAGTGACGGGTTTAACAATGATAATAATTGGTTAATTATTTAATTTTTACAATAATTATGATTTGAATAATCTAATCACTTTATTATCCCGTTTTTTTTACAAAAATTTAAACCAAATAATACCGAAAATGACAACTATAATTAAACTTTTCTAAAAAAAGTGCAAAAAGACTTTAGTCGAATGGAATCCAAGTGGTTTTTTGATAATTATAATAATTTTATAAATAAAATAATATCAATATAGTTTAAAATATTTAAAATTATAGTAAATTATTTTTTTTAACAAAACTGTCTCAAAAATGCAGAATGGTTAATGATTAATTATTTAAATTATTTAAAATAGACCCAACATCTTTCTAGTTATACTATAAAGAAATAAGAGCGTAAAACTCAACAACTCCAAAGTGTAATCTGATGTCTCTTCTTGTGATTGGGTTTGACACACACGCCGAGACTGTTGAAAAACTTCAGTTGAAAATTCTTACACAAATTCTGCCAGGGACGGGGTACTCTCTTTTTTCCCTACAAACTGGGGAAGTACTTCTTCCTCCAACAAATGATAGAAAACTCCTCACTACACGCTTCAAAACGTTTAATGCTCCTTTAGACTTTTATAAGTGCTTTGAGACGATCAAAATGTATGACGTGTTCGAGTCTATTTACTTTGTGTTTGTCGTGTCACACCCCATCACGATTCCATCAAAAGAGCTTTGGACTAAAGAAACGCGTCCGTACGCGGTACTAGCATATCAAACGACAGTGACTTATATCAAGAAAGACGCTCCAATAGTTATTCCTTTGAATCTTGGGCTTCAAGAGGATGTCCTCAGAGAGGACATCCTCAACATCTTAGAGAAACAGAACTTCTTTGGAACAGCCAAGAAGAAGGCGATCCCCAAAATGCGGAGTGGGGGCTATGAAAAGCGACAAGAGAAGGTCCGCTGTAAAATAGTGAAAGTGACATATGTCGACAAGTCGTATTGTTTGCCGATCCCAATCGTTGAAGAGCAACAGTTAGTCAGTTCCGTCATGTGTGGGACTTGTGAAGTTTGTAATGAGTCTGGCAAAAGCGTTGTGAACCCGCAGAAGGGGGTTTTTGTGTTACGATTTGTCGAGATCACACCAATACTGTTCTCATTGACTTACGAGGACATTGTCTTCGTGGTGTTAAAAAAGGAGATCCAAGTCGCTCGCTTCGAGGCAAACAAACGAAGTTACTTGCGAATCAAATGCCAGAGGGGAAGTGCTATGGTGTTCGACCAAATCTTTTGGGTGGCGGATAAAGAAGAAAAGATCGTTGGCTTCATCGAAAAGATCAATTCGGTGATGGACCAAAAAATCCCACAAAGGTACCTAAACCTGGTTATTGGGCTAAGTAGAAATAACACTGAACTCCTCTCTTCGTTTGCTAATGAACCTTGTGACGGGTATGTCCATCAGCATTGTTAATATTGATAATTCATTTGTTAAATTAATGTACTATTTAAGTATACTATATTTATTATATTAATATATTATTGAAATCAATATATGAATTTTAAACAAATTTACTATAATGTAAGAATGAAAATATCTAAGATAATGGAGCATCTAAAATGGTGAAAAACAAGTAAAAATCTTAGTGAAATTTAGTAGCATATTGTAATATAAACAACTAAGATATTAAAACTCAGGACGATCATTGAAGCGATAAACCCTAAACACAACTCAATTCTTAAATGTCGCGATTACAACAAAAGAGGAAGCAGCCGAAGCGTGAAGTGAAAGACAAACTGATATCGAACATCCAAGAAGCCGCCCAGAACTATCCGAATCTCTTTTTGTTTTACAGTCCAGTGATGAGGAATAATTTCATGAAAGAGATCCGCCACGACCGAGTCGATGACTCCATCTTTTTCTTTGGATCAAACAAAGTGATGCAAGTCGCTTTGGGCCGTACTGCTGACGACGAAGTGAAAGTTGGCGCACATCTGATTGCCGAAATATTAAAGGGCCAATGCGGCTTGTGCTTCACTAAATTATCAAAGGATGAGTTAATGAAGTACTTCAAAACCCAAAAGAAAGAGGACTTTGCAAAAAGTGGGTTCACTGCACTGTCGGACTTTGTCGTCCCAGAAGGTCCTTTGCAATTCCCGGGTTCAATGGAAGTCGAGTTGAGAACACAACACTTGCCTGTTGAATTGAAGGATGGCGTATTGTATAACAAAGACGAGTACGTGGTGTGTAAAAAGGGCACACAACTCACCACACAGTCCGCTCAACTCCTTAAACACTTCGGCGTTAAAATGGCTCAATTCGAAATTCACATCGTCGCATTCTTAGAAAACGGCAATTTCGAAAAGATCGAGGAAATGCCACAGAACGCTGTGATGCAGATGGAAGAGGACGACTAATTTTGACTGATTTTTATGGTAATCTTTCTATGTTTTGATTAACTATTTTAAATATGATACAATGAGAAGGTTAACACAATTCTATTACTTTCAGTATTAAGTTGCATGTTGAAAAGATATGACAGACACAATTATATCGGTATCTAATTTATTACCATTTCATTGTATATAACTCACAGAACATACCATTTATGAATTAGAGTCCGTTATAAATTAACAAAGAAAAAAGATGCTTATTCTGTTTTTGCTTCTTTGGTTTCGACTGTCTTCTCTTCCGTTTTCTCTTCTGCGTTTTCTTCTTTCTTTTTCTCACAACAATGACATGGTGTTGCAGATGGGTCGGCTGATGTACACTCACAGTGTTCGTTATGATATTCAGCCTCGGCATCTGTGATAGCGAAACAAGAATGTGCTCTAATAATTGTTACACCTATGACCATGGGGATAACAAAGAAAAGCATACATTCATTCAAGTATGAAGTTATCATTGCAAAGAAGTAGCCCATAGTAAGTGCGATAAGAAGTGGAGGGTACTCCTTTGGCAAATTAATTGAAAAAGAGGTGTAATTTTTCCCAATGAAATAGACTATCACTGGGATTGTCATTACTCCATATACTACAAGCAAAAATGGTTTTAATAAACTAATAGTTATTTTATTATATCATAAGTATTAAACAACAAACATAAAAAGAACCATTATCAATAGTATTAAAGAAACATATGTGCACTTAAAGTTGTTGACATTGATCTTGAATCTAAGGTTCATGACTGCTACATCAGAAAATAGCCCGTATTTCGTTTTCATTAAAAGCTCGAATTCCTCTTTGAAATGTGTTTGAGCATAGTCAAAAATTTGATTTACCTTTTCCATCTTTTGGAATTTTAAGTTCTTTTCGTTATTTTTAAGATGTAAATAGTTTTTTTATTAATCGCTTTAATAATTATGTATAATTATCTTTTTTAATTTTAATGTAGTTTTGTTTAAAATGTTATAATTCAAATAATAATTATTTATTATAAAGAGAAAGGATGGACATGGGGACGAAGGACGGGAATATAGGCCGAAGGACGTCCTTTGTGGTTTAGGGATGTCCTCCCGCTATAAAGGGCGTCCTTTATGTGTATATGGTGTCCTTTCTATTATTTTCGTGTCCGCGGCATTTTTAATAACTATATAATGAGTTATAATATTACTATGAATTTACTATTATAAAATATAATTATTTCCAAAAATAAATAAATTCAAAGACAAATGTTAAACAACAAGTAATTTCGTTATAAATTAATGGTTTTTATAAAATATACAAATTTAAT